GTTTTTTTTTTTTGCAAACTTAAAGGAACATTGAGGAAAGGGACTTTAGTCCCAGTCACGGCTTTGTCACTAGCTAACTGTGGTATTGGTTAAGCCACTTCTATACTTCTGTGTCTTCATTTTTAAAATCAGAAAAGTAATAGTACCCTAACTACCATATAAGACGATTATAAGAGATAGTAAAGTTCTGTTATCTATTATCACTACTTTAACTTACCTTTTTGTAAGAACGTATTTTGAAATACTCTGAGTAACTAAATATTGATACAAATGCAAAAGATCATATTAAACTTCACTACCTATGTTGCAGAAGACTTGCTGAAAATAGTTTTTCGATTGCTGAATCATAGGAGCTTTTGATTATTCACTCTATACTACGGTTCGACTTACAGTTTTTTGACTTTATGATGGTTCTAACGCTGTATGTATTTAGAAGAAACTGGCTAGGCTAAGCCAGTTTGGTAAGTTGGGTAGAGTAAATGCATTTTCAATTTCAACTCACTGTAGGTTTATCAGGACGTAACCTCATCATAAGTCCTGCTAAAGTTTTCTTCCAAAAATCCCCTAGAGTCTGATGGCAAATGTTGTCACTAGTCTTTATTTTTCCCATATCATATTAGGTGTTTATCAGATCAGCAAACAAATCAAAGCTCATGATGGCAGTGTGTTCACACTTTGTCAGATGAGAAATGGGATGTTATTAACAGGAGGAGGAAAAGACAGAAAAGTAATTCTGTGGGATCATGATCTGAACCCTGAAAGAGAAATTGAGGTAAGGATGGAAATGGAACTTAAAATTTTTTAAATAGTAAATCTTCTAAACTCATGTCTTTTGTCCCACATTAAGATAGCTTACACTTTTCTGAGAAATTGGTGCACGTCCTTGTCATATCATTTCCTCAAAACACAAAACAAAACAAATAAAGGACCATTCATTAAACAAAATAATTTGAAAGATTAAAAAAAAGATTAGGTAGAATAATTAACTTGCTTGTTATGTATTTCTGAGATTATTTTTTAGTAATCCAAAAAATAAAATCGTGCAAACTTAAAATTCAACAAGCATTCATCCAGTACTGTATTCTACTCCAAGATATACGAAATGCCCAGTTTAATTTTAAAACTTAAAAATAATCTTTTTTACAATGGGCTTAATGAGAATCACTAATTATCTACCATGCGTCTGCTTCATGGCATGGACCAAGTGTATCCATAAAACCTGACAGATGTTGTGTGCTCAGTGAAAGGTTGGTAATTGAATTGAGGTCTCAGGAAGTGAAATGGTTACAAATAGTGTTTTAGATCAGTAATTCTCAAAGCAAGGGCAAATCTTATAGAGTTTAATATTGCTTCTATTTTTTGATGACTTAAAGTTTGAACTAGTGCTTAGTGTTTTCCACAGATAACATGCTTCCCAAACAAAATCTCAAGGGAAAAAAAAGGATCCTAATAGTATTGCTCTTGAGTTTTATTTCTGAGAAGATAGATAAGAATTGCTTAAGTTCATACTATTTCATACCCTTTTATTCAAAAGCTGCACCATCTAGTTCATCCTCCCTTTGCCATTTCTAACATAAATTTGGCTTTTAGAATTCAGTTTTTTTGTGCTTTTAGGAGTAATTTTGGATCCTACTTCATAAAGAAGAAAGACTTACATTGTTTCAGAAAGAGTCATTCTTTGGGCTGCTTATATTAATATAACATTCGCTGAGAGTATACCAGGTAGCGGATTAAATGAGATCACTCTCTCAAGGAGTCCTGTTAATAAAAGTTATAACACTTTACAATATATTGCTTTTTAGTTTACAGAGAAATCTTATATGCACTATGCTTATATTTTGATCTTTAACAATCAAGAGTAGGTAGGACATGTATTATTATCCCCATATTACATAGAAAGAAATTTTTCTTAGACTAAACGACTTACCTAAAATAACATAACTAGTAAGTAACAAAACCAGATCACATCCTTCATGTAATCCAATAGAAATTACTCTTTCTATTGCTAACCCTTAACTCTTGAAATCACATAAAATATGTTTAAAATGGACTAAGCAAAGAATGTTGATAATAATACATTATAACTTCTGTGTAATAAAATATAATTGAACAAATAAATTATTATTAGCATAAGATTACCATATTACTTTCAAATTTTGAATCCTATCATTTCCCCATAATTGCTTTCATCTATAAATGCAGTCTTGAGGTAATAATTAATGCATATTAGTATGTGTATGGTGACATTACAAATTTATTTTTTTAGGTTCCTGATCAGTATGGAACAATCAGAGCTGTAGCGGAAGGAAAGGCAGATCAATTTTTAGTGGGCACATCACGAAACTTTATTTTACGGGGAACTTTTAATGATGGCTTCCAAATAGAAGTACAGGTAAGCTGTATGATTTTAACCATTGATGTTTTTGATGATATCCTTTGGTTCTTATAACAATAGGTGTATTTTATCTTCAGGGTCATACAGATGAGCTTTGGGGTCTTGCCACACATCCCTTCAAAGATTTGCTCTTGACATGTGCTCAGGACAGACAAGTGTGCATGTGGAACTCAGTGGAGCACAGGCTGGAATGGACCAGGCTCGTAGATGTGAGTAAAGCAAAATGTGATCATAGTCTTCCCACAGAAACTCCCCAGACTAGCAGTTGGGAGCAGCAAAGGAGAAAGAACTCAGCATTAGTTAAAACAGAGTGTTTAGAGTAAATGGGGAGAGTGTTTAGTCACAAAGTATAACATGAACCCACTCCGAAGAAGCAAATTACCAAGGCAGAAACTCAACTTTTCTGTCAGTTTCAATAGTAAAAATCAAAAAGATTTCACATATTTATGGAGTATTAATTGTTATGGAAATATTTGGGCCCCTGGTAGTGGTGCGGTTGGATTCCGTAAGTGCTGCTCACTACTAGACTCTACTGTCTTCTTTTCGAGTTGGTCTCTTACTGTATTTTCTCCCTACTCCACCCAAAAGGTATATACATGTTCTTTGCATGTATCCACCTTTTCTAGCCCAAAAGGTATATACATGTTCTTTGCAGACTCTAAAGAAGTCGAATTATCCTTATTATTATTTCACTGCCTAGCCACAAACTGGCTGTCTTTTTCCCTCACCACTCTGCCAGCATATCCCTTCCTGCTCTGAAGTTCTTTTTCCTCTCATATCCATGTGATATTTCCCACTGGCTACAACGAAGTTGATTGGAATTCCATGTGTATATGAAACAAGTTATTTTCAAATAAGTTTTTGCCACTGTTCCCACAGATCTAGGGAGACTTTCTCATGTACTCCCCAACAGCTGTCTGTCTCTCTTCTAGGAACCAGGACACTGTGCAGATTTTCATCCAAGTGGCACAGTGGTGGCCATAGGAACGCACTCAGGCAGGTAGGGTCTTTAAGGGAAATGTGAGCTGAGTAATTTAAAGTGGTGGGATGTTTAACTGTTGTTAAGGGATGTTCTCTCTCTGAGCTGGAGAATTAATCTTTTAAGTGGCACACTGATATGCTTATTGCTCTTATCTGTTACATATATACATTCAATCATCTATAATTATGTATTGAGCACCTACCATTTGTTAGACACTATTGTGGGCATTCAGGCTACATTAGAGTGCAAAACAAAAATCCCTGTCCTTGTTGTGGAGCCCACATTTTACCGTGTGTTGGGGTGGAGGCAGAATAAAAAATAAACGTTATCACTAATTAAGCTAGAAAATGTTAAGAGCCATGGTTGTGGTAGAGGGATTGGGAGGTGGTACAGTTGCAAAATAATATATAGGGTAGTCAGGGTAGGCTTCATTGGGGAGGTGATCATTCAAGAGACTTTATTCTCCTTTGTGAAATTTTCTGTAGTATCAGAAAATGTCTATCTAAAGGGAAGGGAATTAAAGCTGAAATAACCCAGTTGAGCTTTTATAAGTTTGTGCTATAGCTTTGTTATCCTGTCTTTTTGAATGCTACACAGACTGATAATGAAGGTATATGTCCTGAAATTGTTATTAATTACTTGTCTTCGCAGACCTAGTATGGTACCTTTCCATGGTTACTGAGTAACATTTATTACCTGTATATTTTTAATTGAGTCCTTTTTATTGCCTCTGCTAATAATTAACGCTCATCACAAATAACTTAATTTCTTTTTTAAAGAGGCAAAGGAAAAATATGAAGTCAGTGTCCGGAAGTTAAACCCATAGAAAATGTGAAAGGCAGATTTCTTTTTTTTTTTTTTTTTTAATTAAAATTATTGGGGTGACATTGGTTAATAAACAGATTTCTAATGAGGTGAAACTGTTGTGAGCACGCTTACATAAGTATTTTTCTTTATGCGACAAATATTTTAAATCAGCCAGTTCATTTAATTCTAACTAAATTTAGTCATTTAGAGTTTTTGGTAACAGAATTTTCTCTTTGGCTGTTGGACACAAATGAACACTTTTGGACAGTCTAAACATTCAAATTCACATATATAGTGTTATATATATATAGTGCTACAAAATCTTTCAGAATCATGGAAAAACAGGTCTTTCAAGTAAAGATACACTGAAATGTGGCTGTGGAACTAGAGATGCTGTTTGAGTGGTTGTGAAATAACTGAATTTTAGAATTGGGCTGCTTGGGGTAGAATTGGGAATAACTTGCAAATATAGATGGCTTTACTATCTCAGATTTCCTCAAACTACATGTCAGTACTAGAGTATTACTTAGATGTGGACTAAAAAGGTGTATGACAGGTCACTCTGGAGGAAATTATTTTCTATTTTACCTAAAAAAAATTAGTCTTAAGCACATAACAACTGAAGTTACAGTATTGAACTGGTTTTCAGAAAACTCAAAGGAATTCAGTTCAGCTGAACAGATATCACAAATGCTAAAGTCAGTGAAATAAGGGTAAGAGCTAACATTTAGTCAGGATCCAATGACAGATCTTATACTAAATTATTTTTATATATTACTTTAAACCATCACAAAAGCTGAACAGAATATTAATTTCTCCATTGCACATACAGGAAACCAAGACCCATTAGAGTTTCAATCACTTGTAATTGAGCTTGGATTTGAACTCAGGTTCTACCCTGAGCCCTAATTTTTAAGGAAAAACTGCTTTGATTTAAACTCACTGAAATTACTTTCTAACATATATGTCGCTGATTTGAAGTCATTATGCTGATTTGAAGTCATTATTAACAAGCTTAAAATGAAGTCACTCAATTTAAGTGACTTAAGCCTGCATTAAGCCTGTTACTTCCTTTTGGAGTTGTGAGTAGAAGACACTTATAAATGAGAGTGACGTGACAACTAAGTAAAAAGTGCTGGCAGTCAGTCCTTTCTGGTGTGGAGTAGGGGAATATTTAGGATTTAGGGGAGATACAGTTATCGGAGTTCATTCTGTACATAACTCCTGTCTTTGGTTTCACATCTGATTAGATTCTGATGATTCTCAACGTTCTCATTTATTTTTATTTTTAACATGGGTCTGTGAATACCTGGCTATATCATCTAAAACTGAAAATTCCTCAACGTAGCTATTCAGATTATTATCACTGACCGTAAGCCTGAAAAAATGGTCACACTTAGGGCAAGGAATTTTTTTTTGGTATAAAGCAACACATGTCTAATTGTGTATGATTCATAAAAAGTGACTAGTAGTATGTTTAAAGATGGCTCATGTCCATGTCTAGAAATATTCTACTTCTTATAATCAAGAAATAAGTACATGTATAAATAGTGATAAATAAAATTATAATTTTAAAAGAATATATTGCTAATATAATTTCAAAGGGAAAAAAAGTAATTGCATAGCCCTAAGTGGACATAGTACTTCCTTAACATGCTTATCTTCACATAATAAGGATTCTTTTTAAGTTTTATTGAATTATAATTCATATACCATAAAATTCATCCATTTAAAGTACACAGTTCAAGAGATTTTAGTAAGTTCACAGGATTGTGCAACCATCATAACAAGCTGATTTCAGAACATTTTCATTAACCCAAAAGAAACTTTACTATACTCATTAGTAATCACTCCTTGTTATCCCCATCTACTTCCTCTTAGCTGTAGGCAGCTGGTCTTCTTTCTGTTTCTGTGGGTTTGCCTATTCTGGACATTTCATATAAATAGAATCATACAACATGTCTTTTGTGACTAGCTTCTTAACATGTTATTGTCACGGTTCATCCATGTTGTATAGCATATATAAGTATTTCATTTCTTTTTGTGGCCAAATAATACTCCATTGTATGGATATACCTGCTTCATCAGTTGATTGGTATTTTAGTTATTTCTACTCTCTACCAAGGAGTAGAGTTGTTGGATCATGTGATAACTCTATGCTTAATATTTTAAGGAACTACCAAATTGTTTTCTACACCATTTTATAATTCCACCAGCAAAGTATGAGGGTTCCAATTTCTCTACATCCTCACTAGCACTTGTCATTGTCTATTTTGATTATAGCCATCCTAATGGGTGTGAAGTGCTTTTTCATTGTGTTTCTGATTTGCATTTCTCTGGTGGCTAAAGATGTTGAGTATCTCTTCTCAGGTGCTTATTTCGCCTCTTTATAGAAATGTCTGTTCAGATCCTGTGCCCATCTTTGAGTTGGTTTTCTCTTTTTATTGTTGAGTTGTAAGAATTCTATATAATTCTGAATACAGTACCTTATCAGATCTATGATTTGCGGGTATTTTCTCTCACTTCAAGGCTTCTTTTCACTTTTTTGATGGTAACATTTGTGGCACAGACTTAAATTTTCATTAGTCAATTTATCTATTCTTTTATCTCTTCATAAGGATTTACTCATTCTAGTAATTTTGTAGTTTTAGCTCTTACTTTTAGGTTTCTTATTCATCATGAGTTAATCTTTGTATATGGTGTAAGGTAGATATCCAGCTTCATTCTTTTGTATGTGGGTATCCAGTTAGAGCACTATTTGTTGAAAAGACTATTCTTTCCCCCATTGAATAGTTATTGACACCTTGTCAAAAATAAATGAACCATAAATGTATGGGTTTCTACCTGGACTCTCATTTCTATTCCATGATATATATGTCTGTCTTTATGCCAGTACCACAATGTTGATTATTGTAGCTTTGCACTAAGTTTTGAAATCAAGAAATGTGAGTCCTCTCAACTTTGTTCTTTTTCAAGGTTGGTTTGGCTGTTCAGGCTCTTGAATTTCCACTTAAATTTTAAGATCAGTATGTCAGTTTCCACAAAGTCAGCTACATTTTGGGTAGGGATTGTTTTTTCTTTATAGATCAATTTGGGGGAATGTCACCATCTTAACAATATTAAGTCTTCTGGTTTTTGTATACTGATTTTGTGTCCCGCACAAGACAAGTTGTTTGCTGAATTCGCTTCTTCTAATAGTGGATTCCTTAGAGTTTTCTACATATAAGATCATATGATATGTACATATAGTTTTCTTCCTTACCAATCTGAATGCTTTTTCTTTTTCTTGTCTAACCGTCCTAATTAGAACCTCCAGCACAATATCAGATAGAAATGGCAAGAGTGGTCATCCTTATCTTGTTCTCTATCTTAGAGGGAAAGCATTCAGCCTTTCACAGTAAATATGTTAGTTGTGGGTTTTTCATAGATGCCCTTTGTCATATTGAAGAATTTTTCTTCTAAGTTTAATTTTTAATCATGAAAGGGTGTTGGATTTTGTCAAATGCCTTTTCTGGTCTATTGAGATAGCATGGATTTTGTCCCTTATTAATATGGAGTATTACATTAATTGATTTTCAGATGTGAAATCAACCTTATATTCCTGAGAAAAATCCTATTTGGTCATGCTGTAGCATCCTTTTTATATGTTGCTTGATTCAGTTTGTTAGTATTTTGGTGAAGATTTTTACATCTATATTCATAAGAGATACTGGTCTGTAATTATATTTTGATGTCTTTGTCCAGTCTTGGTATCAGGGTAGTTAGTACTGGCACTAAGAACTTTAATAAGGCTGATATCTCCTAAAATGAAGATTTAAAGCATACAAATGGATAAAAATTAGTATATACTAGTAATTATTAATCATTAGTTACCAAAATATTAGATTTATTGAACCAATGACTAAACTATTTAAAAAATTACAGCTAGGCATACTACACATGATTTTTAACTATAACCTCTCAGTTTTTAAAATTTGGGTTTCTTGATAGGATTTAAAGTTCTTCATAAAGCTCCTAATACATGGTAACCCAAACCATGAACTTGAAAGTTTGTAATCTCTGAATTACTGGTAGAAATACATTTTGCTTGATTTTTTTCAAGACCTCAATTAATCATCCTTCCCCTTCCTGTTTTTTAAAACCAGTTTTTAGAGACACTTAATCTTTATACCACCTCCAAACCTCAGAGAAACCACATATATATTTATCATCCCATCAGGATGTTAGGTCTATATCAGCTCAGACAAAATTCTCCAAGCAGTTTACATGAAACCTTATTCTGGTCTCAGTTAGACCTAGTTCCATTTCCAACCAACATAAAGTAATTCTAACATACATAGTATTTAAGGAAGGAGTTTTTGCCATAATCATTTTATAGGCTTGTAAATGGAAGTGAGACACTTAGAATTAGAGAAATCAATAGGCTTGAGATAGGGAGAAATAAAAAGCAAAAGTTAAAGTTGGGAATTGTTTCAAAGAAAGGAATCTACAGAATTGAGTCAGAATACAGAACATATTACATATATAACATAAGGGTGGAAAGAAAGAGAGATGACTTCAAAGACCCCAAAGTTTCTGGTCTCTAATGATAGAGATAGCTTTGACAGGGAAGCAAGCTGGGAAAATGAGCCTGGAGTGGGTAAGTAAAGAATTTTTGTTTTTGATGTGATCAGAGGACCCTAGACCTGGAGAGACTTAAATGATCTAGCTCAATTTATCAGTTTTGATAGTGACTGTAACCTTGGCGAGCCAGTGATGTAGCTAGATGTTAGCAAATTCTAGCCAGATACTGTTGATTATAAAGGTTCTGAGCATAAGAAATGCTTCTCTTCAAAATGAAGATGTCAAAGTCATAATAGCACTAGCTGAGACTTTTTTTTTTTTTTGACCAAATTATAGAGAAAACGTCTAATTAGAAAAGAATAGCTTTTCCCTCTGTAATTTGGTGTTCCTTAACTTGGCCCATGGGTATTCCTAGCTCATTCCCCAGGGTACAGAAGTGTCTTTGAACTCCATCAGCATGAATCTCCCTTGAGTTCTCCATTTCTCAGTCACTCTTCAAATGCTTTTTGAGTTCCTATAACTTGTAAAGCACTGTACTAAATGCAATGAATGGCACAAAGAAGGATGAGATATGATCCCTATCATAAAAGATATCATATCACATAAGTAGTTTAGTATTACTTGAATAAACAGGCACTAATGCTTGAAGATCAACAGAGAAATCACTGTGAGCCTGATTGGTCAGAGAACACTTCACAGAGGCGGTAGGATTGGTGCTGCCTTGAAGTTCTTGGATCTTGAAGAGGCAATGAAAAGTGAGCTCATATCAAGCAAGAGGAATGGACTGAGCAAACTCAAGAAACTGAATTCAGGACAAGAACGTTTTTAAAGGCTCCTCAGTACCTAAACAGTAGAATCCAAACTTGTCGGCCTGGCCTTTAAAGCCCGTTAAAAGATTTTGAAAATCTTTCCCCTCACCACTCCAGCCAGAATGGTCAATTTGTTGTTCTTTATATATGCTCCAGCCCTTTTGTACTTTCTTAGCTACTCCTCTCCACTAATTTATGTCCCACCTATTCTTGTCACATTTGATGTGATGAAATCCTAGATCACCCACATCCTCAGTGATTACTCCCTGCCTCGGAAACTTCAGAATCCTTATTATATGTGTAATTCATATTACTTCAAACTATTTACCACTTTATTAACTCATTCTTTCTCCCGATTTAGATTATGAACTATTCTGCCTCCTTTCTTGACTCCTCTTCTCTAAATCTCTAAATATTAGTGTATTTCAAAGACAGGAAACACTTTCGGTGGGATCACACCCTTCCCTGGTGTGATACAGTGAGAAGCACAAGGACCAGATTTATCCTGGTTCTGCCACTAACTAGTCAGTTGATGACTGGTCAGGTGTTTTGACATCATAGAATTTCATTGTTCTTATTTGTAAAATGAGGGTTGAAATGGGCTCTTCTTCCTCCTTGTTTTTAACTTTACATTTCTCTGATTATAAAGCCACATTCCTGTTCTTTTAAATAGATCATAAAGCAAGGTGGGGTGAAAGTTACAGACCTGCCACCTAAAGGACACACTTTACATTATGATGAATATTTTTTAACTCATTATGAACCTATCTATTCATTTACAGACTTTAAAGTATGATACTTTTCTTTTTTTTTGCCACTAATGAAATCAATACAGTATCTTTTAAAAAAGTCATCAGGTCAAATGATGATGCTCCATTTTGATATTTGACTCACAAATCAGATTAGTTTAAATATATGACCAAAGATCTCCCATTGTGAATGCTGAGCAGTTACGCTTGGAAGGATCCATTAGGTCTTCTAGGCCATTAGGTCCTTAGAGCCCCATCATGATTCCAGATTAACTTAAAGCAGAAGCTTGGTTCCAATGTATATACTCTAGACTAGAATAAGTTCAACGCAGTGAAAACTTAAATATTTATTTCTAGAAAATTCCCTTTGCTACAGGATTTGTTTTCTTCTCCATACCTTTGTTAGAGGCAGAGGTCCTGAGCCCAAAAATCTTTTCTGAAGATAGAAATAACTCATGCAATGAAGAGAGCTCTTAAGGGTGGTCCATATGGAAGTTGTTTACTTATAATTCAGTAACTTTGTCATTAAAACTAAAAACTACTTCCCAAAAGTAGAAGAATTAACCTCTGATATGTAATTATAGAAACAGAAAAGGTAGGTTAAGTAGAGAGGGATTTCATTGATATAGAGTTGGGATCTTTTAGTCTTTGATCTCCTACCTTGAGAACACTAAAGCATGTGAAACACACTACTAAACATTCCATTTAAAAAAATTCGTTAAAGCCTTTTCCTCTCCGAAATAGTATTTCTTTTAGTCTGAAAGTGGTCTCTTTCTAGATGTTATAAAATTAGCTTCAGTATTAAGAGGAGCTGTCATGATTTGTTATTGGCTTATATTACTGGTGGAATGTTTTCCATCTGAATAATTTTTAAAAGCCGTTCTTGTCCCATCCAGGTATATGAGATTTGGATAGTGATTTTATTTTGTAGTCTTGTCCCATTCTCTCCACCCCAAACATTTCTTCCTGCACACTGCACTCCTGTTAAGTAATTCTTACTAACATTTGTGGTTTATCATGTTCAAGATTTATGTTTAAGTTCATTGATTCATTCTACAAATATTTTTAGTGCCTAATCTGAACCAGGCGGTGCTCAACTCTAAACTCCTCCGACCAGTGATGCATACTGCCTATATCCTGCCTCCTCTCACTTACCCAGGCTTTAGTCATTCATTTTGCCATGTTCAGAAACACCATCCCTTTCTTCAGGTGCTCTTAGAAAAAGGCCCAATAAGCGTCATTTATTATGTAGTTGGATTTAAGGCATTGTTTTACCTCTCAAGAGACTTTTACATTTTCACTTACGTAAATGTGAACGAGAAACTGTCTCAATTTAGTTGGAGGTATTGAAGAGGCAGTGCGCCCTCTGCTGGTTCTTTTGAAATCACACCAAATGAATGGCCCTCTGCTTTTCCCTACCTTCACTCTGTCCATATTCCTTCCCACCTCCATAGCTGTGCAGCTTTACTCTTGCCTGAATTGCTGTGCTTTTTTCCCTGTGGTTAGCTCAGCTCATATCCTACATCCTCCCTAAAGGTTTTTCTGTGTCTGTCTCCATTCATTTTCCTTATGAGAGTTCCTCTACTCTCTATATATAGTCACCATCACCAAGATTGTCATTTAATTTGTTTCAGTTGGCTCATTTCCTTTTCCTCAATGCTAATATAATCATCAAGAACACTGATCCTGTCCTCTTACTCCGTTTTAGTGCCTAGCAAAGAGACACTGTTGACATTCAGTGACTACCTAAATAGAAATGAGAACATGCCCAGGCCCGTATATTTATGTTGTCTCTAGCAACATTTTGCAAAGTGAATTTATCCTCATTAGAAGAGGGAAACATGTCATACTTAAGGGAATTATTAATATTTATTAATTTTAAAAAATTAAAAGGGAAAAGTCAGTAATCACTTTTTCCTATAAATGCTAATATATGGAAAATATTTTGAATTTTACTTCTTAACAGGTGGTTTGTTCTGGATGCAGAAACCAGAGATCTAGTTTCTATCCACACAGATGGGAATGAACAGCTCTCTGTGATGCGCTACTCAGTAGGTAGGCAGATTTATCCCCACCCTGGCATTTGCAGCATTTCTCCATAATTGCACATTTTCACTTCCAATAAAGCTACTTTTTTCTCTACTCCCTGTAGAGTTGTCAAGTATTTAATATGTTTCCCCAACATCAGATTAAATTCTGCTGCAGAAAACTGCAAAAGATTTGCTAAAGTTAAACAGCATTCTAAATCATCAAGCAAACATAGATTTGTAACAAACTGTTGCAACTGCATTTGCAGTTGCAAGCAGAATACAGTGCAGTCAACTCCCTTTTTTTTTTGGAACTACACATACTTCGAATTCTGAATAGGTAACAGTCTGAACATCTCTTTAGCAACCTTTCTTTGTATGTAAGAGAATATAAAGGAAATGGTACTATTCAAAATACACTAATTTTGTAGACCCTTCATGTTCTTTAAAATCTAGTTACATCGTTAGTGGTTATACAGTGATGGTTAATTAGATAAAATACTCAGCAATTCATTATAAGAATTTGATAAATTTGTTTAGCCTGGTTTGAATAATTCTTTTTACTTTATTCAAAATATTGTTTCCATAGTATTCCAATTTCCTTTTCCCTTATTATTGTTTTTGATTCATATTATCTTCCCTGGAGTTAGTTTGAGTGACATTTGCTTATATTCGAAAATATATTCCAGTAGTTGTTGGATCAGTGTGGGATCCAAAGGATCTTTTTTATTGATTTTAAGTTGTTTCAGGGGAACACCGAATACTGTCCTCTGAGTTGGAAAAGTAAGGAAAGGTGTTTGCTTCAAGCTATAAGCCTGGCAATAGTTGAAGCAGAAAAGGTTTTCTACTTGGGATTGGCTTTTTTCAGTGCTGTAATAATAAATAACTACTGCAAATGTAGTGATTAGAATCCACAGATCAGTTGGACTTTATTGACCATCTGCTGTGTGGTAAATGTGATAGGGGAGGGGAGACCAGAAAGAAGAGAACTAGGTCTCTTCCCAAGAGAAACCTACCTTGTAGTTGGAGAGGTCATATGTAGTACTCAGATGAAATGAGCAATTGCACACTCAACTTGCGGTATGAATACTGTGTACTTAGGCCCATAAAAGCAGGTTACCCTTCTTGGGGCCAGTTTGTAGCTAAACTAGGGGACGAGGCTAGAGCAAGGGTAGAGTCCAAGGCCTATGAGTATCTCCAAAAAGGGACTGTGTACTGGACTTGATGTGCATTTGTTTTTCAGATGTGCATAGTGATGGAAGGATTCATTCATCAAATAACCAAATAACAATAAAATTGATGAGATTTAACATTTGTAAAATATCATTTAGTATAGGTTGAATAAAATAACAGTAAATAAATCTACCAGTATATTTCTCTAGTCAGCACTTTTTCCTGTTTCATTCTAGATGGCACCTTCTTGGCTGTAGGATCTCACGACAACTTTATTTACCTCTATGTAGTCTCAGAAAATGGAAGAAAATATAGCAGATATGGAAAGTGCACTGTAAGTAGTGAATTAAAATAAATTAAGTTGTAAAACGGTTAATTTTACTTCTGTTAAAAAAAGAGTTAAATGTTTACACTGACGTATACATTGTTCTGTATCCTTAGCTGCTTTAAACTTTAATCTCTGTCTTTGAAAACAGACTACCTGACAGCAGAGAATATTATAGTTCCCTGTACTCTTGAAAGGGTTCTCCTCTAATGGGAGTTTGGTCTCTAATTTTAAGGTGGTTTCTTAAAGCTATTTCCACAGAGAAAGCCGTAGAATAACACATTTTGAAAATGGAGTGACTCAGAAATGAAAGGGTATTTCACCTTTAATCCCATCGTCCCATGTTTCTGCCCACTCTGCAATTTCCTGTATCACCTCCCTTGGACTAAAATAATTTATAGAGATTTGTCTCATTAATTAACAGAAATGTATTTCCTTTAATTTGTTGCCCATTTCTGATTCACTAGATTATTACCATAAGATAAAGATTAGATTCACTTCTATAGATATACTGAGTACTTACCTCATGGCAGGTATTCTGCTAACTAGAGAATGTTCTAGGCACTGGCAGTACACATAAGATTTGTTCCTTGTCCTTGAAAAGTACACATTCAAGCTGAGGACAGGACAAGAAAGGCATGTGGTATTGTACAGTGGCCTAAAGGCACAGCCTTAGGATCAGACTACCTGGATTTGAATTCTTATTTCACCATTTATAAGCTAGTATGACCTTGAGCTAACTGCTTAAACCTTCTACTTCTACAAGATAAGGACAATAGCAGGTTCTACTTCACTGAATTAAAACAAGTTAATGCATATAAAATACTTAGAATAGTGCTTGGCATATAAGTACTCAATATATGTTAACTATTATTTATAGAAAAATGAGGTAGCTTGGTATGTATGGTGTTAGGAAGTTAATTTAGGATTATAGCAAATCACTTAGTGAATTAGTGATTAGTGGCACAGATTTTTTAAGTCTTAATCACAAAATAGTTTTAGGGGAATAAATAAAAGAACTAGTTTTTAGAAGCATATACATAACCCAAAACAAGACCATTCATTTACTATTTGAAGATGACTTTTTTTTTCCCCCATATTTTGTATCATATGCTAAAACCAGCCTATAAACTAGTCTACAAGCAACCTAAAGGTTTTAGAATTTATCCAAAATATTTTGGTTTACCTTGACAACAATTATAAATCATTGTCCATTAATTTATGTAAATCTATATTTTAGTCAATTATTTTCATATTTGTGATATGTAAGAATATAATAACTCCTCATTGTACAACATGATTAAATTAAATGTTCCACAGAAAGGAATTTTCAGATTACTAAAGTTTACCCTACCGGGCACCAAATTTTTCTTAATTATTTTTTACCTCAACCTTTTTTAAAATCCATGTCTTAATAAACAGAGTATATCAAATATAATTTAATCTTGTGGGATCATAATAGTTACAGGTAGCACACACTTAGCTCAGCCCTCATTTTCCAGATGAGACTGAGTTTCAGAGAAGATAAATGACTTGTCCTTGGTCACATCTTGGTCACATAATGGCAGATCCAGGACTTGAACCCTGTTCTCCTCTTAGTAGAGCAAACTTTCTAATATATAATAATGCCTCAGATTTTGCAAGATGTATATGATTGTATTATGCTCTTACAGTACAGCAACTGATTCAGAGAAGAAATAGCAATGTGTGACATTGGATAATGAAAATGATTTTAGAAGTATTGAGAAATGGCAAGTTTATCAATTGTATGAGACTTGGCTTTCTCCAGTTTAGGCAGCTTTTATCTTTCGAGTGTTTGAAGGTATTATTTTGAGATATCCTAAGGAACGGTTAAAGTTTATAGTACTATTTGAGGCTATAATGAATGGCTCGATTATTCTGCTTTTCTAATTATCTTCTGTTTTCTGCTTTGCTTCCAGCTATCACTTCTCCTTTGCTGTCTATTTCCACCAGCTGGTCTTACAGTTTCATATTAACTGCTTTTGTGTGTTGTCTACTGTGATATAGGACAGACAAAACAGGGCTAATGCTGGCTCTGCAACTTACTAATATGTGACTTTAGGCAAGTTAATTAACTTCTCTGATTCTTAATTTTATTATCTTAAAATTGGAGATTATAATAGTTCCTACTTTATAGGATTGTTGTGAAGATTAGGTCTTTGTTAAAATGTGGCAACTGGAACTACTGTCAGAGTTCCAACTACAAATGCTGTTTTCTATTCTATTTCCAATACTTTCCTGTTACTAGTCAATATTTAAGTGACCACTGTTGCTCAGAAGCACATTTCAAACTTTAGAAAATGTCCCTCTAGCAAATTTTAATCAAGCAGTTGGAGCCTGTGCCTCTTCACTTTCTGTGGAAATGTCAGTTGAGAAGATGACTGGTATCCAAATCCAAGCACATGAAGGAAGCACTTCTTGGTAGACAGCAGCTGGCTAATCAATCAGTGGCATGGTGATTACAAGCCAAGGCCTTGCTCACAATCTCATAAGCTAAGAAACAAGACAAGATCCATTTTTAGAGAGATAGGCTTACATCATCCAAGTTCTCCAAAGCTGGTTTATAAAACATCAGTTTGCGACAAGAGCTATTAACTGGCAAGGGACTGAATCCTGTAAGTTGTCTCTCTGTAAGCAAGCTTCAGGAAACCAACTCATAATCAGAATACTAGTTTATTCATTTAAAGCAGATATATAAATGCCAAGGGGACAGGACATGAGCATCCTCTGGCCAGTACTTCCCTTCAGGCAAGTGGGTGCTATCCACCTTTGCCTTTGTTCTTTTTTCTTTGCAGACCGCCATACCCCAACCCCATCTGAATAACCCTTTCTTTGGGTAGATTCATACATGCAGTCAGGTTGTACTCTAGAATTGCCGGCCCTAGAGCTATTGTGACTCTTACTTTGCCTTTTTCTGCACTAATTTATTTTATGTTAATTCTAAAGTTTAACTCTCAGAGGTTTTGAGGGAACATCCATTGTAGTTTTCATAAACACACAACCTGCTCTTCCATTCATTGAAACTTATTTCCATTTTCTACTGACCCCAAACATCTTTCATAATCTTCCTGGTTTATCCTTACCCACTTAAAATATCAGTGTTTCAAAAAACTTAGCACAAACTCTAAATTTGGAGATTTATTATGTAGCCTCTCTTCTAGGTGTTCTTTAAAAATGTTAAATCTGATCTCATTTAGAATGATAAAATTTTTAGCATTTAAAGGGCAGAAGGGAGCATTATCTGGTCAACTTCATTTCATGCATAAGAAAAGTGAGGCAGCTATATAGCAGGAGCTCGTTTATCACCATTTTATCACCATTTCTTTGTTTTATGTTCTAACTCCTCTGATCAAACCAATCTCAAATAACATGATTACCTTACAGTATAAGTACATGAATAAACTAGTCTCCAAAGGTGATAAAGACTGAGTTAAAATTTTGATGTGTCTCTGCTTGATCCTTAGAACCCTGAAACAGCATATGCTAGAAGAATCCAGCTGAGAGCTTTTTCCACATACTCTGTCTCTTCCCTTATCTCTCTCCCATTTCTAACCTTTGCATTTAGTTCTAAGACAATCGTTTTGTTAGAAACAAAGCGAAAATAGGTGCAGTATGAAGTAAACACATTCCAACTTTAAAAGGAGTTTGACTTTGGAGTAGTACAGAAAGGAAGAGTAAGATGCCTCATTTGCCTCTTATTTCTGCAGATAGCCCAGTATACCAACAAGACTTTTTTCTCTGTCATGTACGTTAAAGCTTGGTGTCGGCCCGTATTTTAGTGTAGCCACTCTGTGTCACTGGACTATAGCTATTAAGACATTGCTTGTGAAACAGCAATATGACAATCACAAATTCCACAGAAAGGCATAAATCTCAATATGTAAGAAAGCAGTAATAAGATAGAGCACTGCTCAGTATTTGCTTCTTACAGATTAGTGCTCACATGTGGTTCCCTCAAAGATCTATATTAAGAAGAGTGAATAAACATTTTCTGCCGAAGCTACTTTTGTACTTGCTACTGTGTGGCAAATACCACCTCACAAATACCTCAGGTTTACTATACATGGCTGGTCCTGGCCCATCTCTTTGAAGGAACCCTAGCGATCTTCCTAGAAATAATTTGCTCTTCATGAACTTGAACTCTCGGGGCCAGCTGAGGGATAGAAGAGAAGAGAGGTAGAAGGGAGTCATCCCTCTATGCTGTTCATGACAGCCTTTCATTTCCTCTTCTGTGGCCTGACTCTGCTCTCTCATTTCCCATGTTTGCCCCTGAGAGCATAGTGCCTTCTCGATGTCCTTAGGTTCTTCAGGTCTCCCTCCAGCCGAACTGCAAACCTACTTGACCTGATCTGTGGCCTTTTGCTCCTCCTAATTAGATCAAATAATTTAAAATGATCTTTTTCCTTTTACTTCCCATGAGAACTTCCATCTTCTCATTGTTTAGTAAATATTTTAAAAAGCTGTTTGACTAAATTATAGGATTTATGGGTTCATGATGACATACAGTCACTATAAGCAGCTTGATACTTTGTAACTGCTGCTATAGAAAAACTTTTAAGGCGGCTTTGGGTTCATAAGCTCTTTTTAAATCTAAGCCCTGGGATTTTGGAGGTGGGGCTGGGCTGGTGGGCTGGCATAGATCTGTTTTTGTTTTACATAGTGGGCTTCTTAAGATTTAAGGTGGCAGAAGGATTTTATAGCTAAATAGAATTTGAAGTCTGCTGGGTGATTTTCTCAAAGATCTCTGAGTCTTGTTACTGTTAAGTATTGTAAGGTTTTACTTCAACTTTTCCTGTACTGTTTTGAAATGTACTGAAAAGGTCTCGATGACTTACATATTCCCTTTTAATGCTACTTTTAAATTGCTTTCTGCTCTCTTTAATGTTATCGAAGTAAGTAGAAGATAAGCATGATTTAAATGTTGTGCTTAATTTGGTCCAGAATCATCTGACCTGGATTTGAACTCTGGCTCCACCAGTTCTTTGGACTGTGAGTCCAAAAGTTACTTCATCTCTCTCTGCTACTAAGTGGGCATCCTCAGTTAAGGCTGCTATGAGATTTAGAGTTCATAATATTTGTAAAATACTTAATGCCATATACATAAAAAGTACTCAGTAAATGTTAGGTGTTATTACCAGCAGCAGTAGCATTATTCTCAGTAACTAGATGAGCCCTGGGTTGTACCTAGAGGTGTTTTTCAACATTTAACATGAATCTATGAAAGTTCAAAATTGTTTTCTAATTACAAACAAATGCTTATTTTCCTCGAGTTTATGTTACGACTGACCTAAGGATTCCATTCTGTTTACATAGGACTATTTTATTATGCACCTTAATGCAACATAATGCCTTTGTTTGACTCAAATTACTGTGTACTTTTAACGTTGGTACTCAGATCCTAGCCTAGAGATATAGTATCTCGAAGTTACAAGTGATGTACTAAACATTACAAAGTCTGATGGCATAGGCAAAGAGTTCTGGTAAAAAATGTTCTTTTGCCAGGATTTTGGTAATTGAAAATATATATCAAAAAGAGTCAAAAAGTTTTTAACTGTTTACCTAGAAATCTCCAAGAAAATAACCCATAAAAACGAATGCAGTGTTTCAATAATGAAGTAAGGTTCAAGGAGGTATACTGGATTTTGCTCCTGTATCTCTGCCCTTAGGGTGATGTTTGAGGCTCTTTTCTCCCAAGCTGTGCCTGTACCTTCCATGGCCTATGAGTTGCATGGGGCAAGGGCACTGTGAGGTGGTGTCTAGGAAGGTAGGATAAGAGATCCCGAACAGTTGCATTTAATCTTTTCTTTGCTTATTTATTGGGATCCATACGGTATGAATTTACTTTTCCTACTGGAGTCCTTTTTGAGGAAATATTGATTTACCTTCTAAATATGCTGTGTCCAACAGACATGAGTTACACGAATTTTATGTATATGTATAGTGCTTTTGATGATCTCAGTAATGCTCTTAAAGGCTTTTCACAGAGATTCAGGTAATTTAAATACTTCTACGTTAGGATGAATACTTCTTAGAGGACTGTACTTTGCCATGATTAATCTGGTTATTCATGTAACAGTTTTCTTATCTTAGAAGCATGGCTATAGGTGCCAGAGCCAGGCATCAGATTCATGTGCACTATGAAAAGGATTTGTGTGAACCCCATCGTTCTGCCATCTTCAGAAAATACCCAATAACCACATGCATCTTTCTGGCTTTAATTTCTTGTTAAGTTAGCAGGTCTCCTGTGTGCCTAGCAAGTGATTCTAATCTTTTCCAGTATACCGCCTAATATTCTGGTGACTTCAGGAAGCATCACAGTTCTCAAATTCACGAAACTCATTTAAATGTATAAATGCGTATATTTGCCATGCAGCAGTGTCAGGGAGATCATAGCTCCAGAGAAGTTTTAGGGCATGTCATTAAGACTAAAGAAGGGCAATAGAATAATTAGAATATTTTAAATTTACATACTTGGTAGAAGTCATTAAAACTACATCTAAACTACTTTAAATTTATTAACTTAAAAAAATACAACCACTTGTGCAGAAAGCTAGTAATTTTAAAAGTATATTAGAAATTTAATATGTTTTACCACTGACTATAGGAGATGAAAGTGATTTTGAGTCTCCGTTAGCTCTGGTAAACCAATAAGACCTGTGCAATTTATCTGAAATAGTTTATTGGAAATCAACTGCTTACATGTGAAGCCAACAAAATATAGCATTAGTTTAATTCTCACAGTGCTAGTAAAAACTAAGCAGAAAAAGATCACTGTCTTCCTGTTTAAGGAGTCAGATAATTATAGTGCATCCAGCTGGAGTACATTGTTAGGTGACTTTTCTCCTAGAATATTCTTTGGAAACAGGAGTTTTTCTAGGAATATATGTGCCATGTCCCTCAGCCTCTGGGGTATACCATGGATACTCAAGAAGCAGCTCAGGAACATTTTACTCTGTGAACAAACCAGAACCAACACTTCATTCTTGATACTGAAGTTACTCTAACAGGGATACCAGTGACTTGAAATAAGGCATGAGGGAGTGGTACCTCTTGCAGTGTCCTTCATGGCACAGGTTTAAGAGGTTGTGGGTCTCTCACACAGGCAGTAGGTGCTTGTTGCCAGTATCTAAGTGGAGAGGCCAACAGGATACTCCCAAGTTCCAAGTGCTTATCGTTTTCACTGTGGTGAGAACTTTTTAGTTCCAAAGTTCTGCCAGAAATCTTCATGAATCGCTGGCATCTTCGCCTCCCAACAAGATAGAGCAAAAAAGAACTAAAGACCTGCTGTGAGCCCTGTTCAGTTCCACAGGTTGTGATACTGCTCTCTACACTTTAAGATGGATGAATGGCTACTCAGAAAACCGTACTGGCTAACTATTAAACTACGTGTTATTCAAAGCTCTAAATGCTTTCTAATACTAATCTGTTATTTCCTAGGGACATTCCAGTTATATCACACATCTTGACTGGTCTCCAGATAACAAGTATATAATGTCTAACTCGGGAGACTACGAAATATTGTACTGTAAGTATGAGTGATCACATATGGCTGAGACGTGTCTGCCAGGGGCACTAATGAACAGGCTGCATGGAATTTGAATTGTGCAGAGAGCATGCTTGCTGACCTCTCTAACCTGAGAAAGCATGTCACTCTGAGCTAAAGAATGAGAATCTCAAATGTGCTTCACTTCTCCAAGAAAGTAATGAGTTAATTTTTATGTATAGACATGTAGTCATAAGAAATTACTCAGGGAGATAGATTGCTGCTGCTCCGAGTGGTTTTGTATTTAACAACTTTTCCCCGAGGCAAGAAGTATAATGGATGGACATTTATGCTTTTTAAAGAAAAAAGAACTTCTGTGGGAAACAGTTCATAGTTCCATAAACCCTGTTAAACTCTCTCTTCCTTTTTAAATGTGTCTTAATGTTTTTCGGTATATGGATTATATCATTTACTTCCTGTTTCTAAATTTAAAGGGGACATTCCAAGTGGCTGCAAACTAATCAGGAATCGATCTGATTGTAAGGACATCGATTGGACGACATACACCTGTGTACTAGGCTTTCAAGTCTTTGGTAAGGACATGGCACTGATGGGAAAAGATGGTTTCTGGGGTTTTGTATGTAATAATTACTTGCCTAAATTACTAAATGAAAAAGTCTTACATGTGTTCACTTGTGTCATCACTATTAATGCCAGATTGAGAGAAATTAATTGTTATTAGGATTGAACCAATACAAGGTTTGTTCTCTACAGAATCCAGCAGACTTGGTCTCTGATAAATATAGAAGACAAAAGGATTTTGCATGACAGCACAGATTGCCTTTCTATTTTTTCCCTCCAAGTGCAAATTGAAGCTTTTAAATTCGTAAATACATTTTAAAAAACAGCTTTATTGACATAGCATTCACATACAATTCACCTAAAGTGTACAGTTCAGTGGTTTTAGAATATTCACAGTTGTGCAACCATCATCACTAATTTTAGAATATTTTCATCACCCCAGAAAGAAACTCTCTACCCATGAGCAGTCACTCCCCACATCAACCCTCTGACAACCACTAATCTACTTTCTTCCTCTGATGATTGGGCTACTCTGGATAGTTCATATAAATGGAATCATACCATATGTGATCCATTAAGACCGGCTTCTTTCACTTAGCATAATGTTTTCAGTGTCCGTCCATGTTGTAGCATGGAACAGTACCTCATTTTATGGGTGAATAATAGATCCCATTGTATGGATAATACCACATTTTGTTTATCCATTCATGAGATGATGGACACTTGAGTTGTTTCCACTTTTCAGCTATTATAAATAATGCTGCTATGAACAAGCGTGTGTCAGTTTTGTGTAGGCATGTTTTCATTTTGGGGGAGAGGTATACTTAGAAGTAGGATTGCAGGGTCAAATGGTAACTCTGTGTTTAACCTTTTGAGGAATTGCCAGTTTTCCAAAGTGGCTGAGCTTGTTTACATTCCCAACGGCAATGTAGGAGGGATTCAAGTTTCTCTACATTCTTGTGAACAGTTATTTTTATTTTACATGTAAATGTCCAGTTGTCCCAGCACCATTTGTTGAAATATGAAGGCATTTTTAGTGGACATTATTTAAAGATAAAATTTGAGGATCATCCCTAATCTGATGCTTTGGACATTTCTAGAAATCTGTTCTCTGTGACATTTTTGTAATCCTTTCCCAATCTGTAGATATTCTTCTGAAAAAGTTAGAAGATAAGTGGAAAAGTGAAAATAATAAAACCCTGTTTACAAAGAATTAAAAAGAGATGTTACAGTCAGTAATTAGAATAATGGATATGGATGTGTTACCAATACCTAAAGTAAAAACCAAAACGTTAGTACTTTTCTTGCTGTACAGATGGAGGAGAAGCCTACTAGGCTAGGAAGAAATTAAAAACAGGTAGTCCATAAACAATTTCATTATTCCAGGTGAAACTGAAGCAGTGGCCAGTAGCTGGTAACTTACCTAGTTTTTTTAATGAAACAATATATAATACATGAGACATCAATTAAGAAGTGTTTTGAGTTGTTTTAGCAAATTTATCAAAAACATTTGTTTTCTAGAGCAGTACTGAACCACAGGAGGCCAACATCTCAACAGTTACACATTCCATAATTTTAGTCTAATAGAATTTTATGCTGTGTTCACCAGTGCCTCCTCATGATACAGAATAGTTAAATTTTTTATATCTTATCTTTGGACATAAATAATAGTTAACAAGAAAATTCTATGGGATAGCATAGTAGACTAGTGGATGGCATTTCCATTAAGACTCTACGAGGTTTTCCTGGAATTGCCTGCCTGAAAGGGAAGGGGGTGAGTATGTAAATTTTATGCAGCTTACCTAGAGTCCACTTTGAAGAGTTGGTGCTATATGGCTTTGTTTCTACACCTTGATACAAGTAACTGAGAACTTCCCTTCCAACTAGAAGCTTTAAAAAGGAAGTTTATTGCTCAGGTGAGTTAAGCAAAAACAAATTATTTTTAGCACCAGCTGCTGGTTACCAGCAAGTACTTTAGGGTCATTAAACTTTCCATCTTGAGGCTATTCTGGTTTAATTTTGTTAGATTTTGGATAAAACTATTTGAACGAAGCACTGAGCCATTAAGAAATTTGTAAAGCAAATGTTAGCAGCTAAGAGTTCGAACACAGAGAAAAATAAGATTCTAAAATTAAACCTATTTGGCATCACAGTTATACTTTTTAGGCTAATATTTGTCTACCCGTGTTTCCATATTAAAGGTGTCTGGCCAGAAGGATCCGATGGAACAGATATCAATGCGCTAGTGCGATCCCATAATAGGAAGGTGATAGCTGTTGCTGATGACTTTTGCAAAGTCCATCTGTTTCAGTATCCGTGCTCCAAAGCAAAGGTAAAATCAGTTTAATCAAAACTAGCGTCATGGGGCTGTTCTTTGGGGATAATTTTTTGTCAATGGCAAGAAAATATTTGTAGGGTCACTAATTACTGTCCATGAGACTACGATGCACAGGAGGAGGAGAATAGGGCCATCTGTAATCATGCAAGCAGGCATTACTTGTCTTCTCTTTTCCTCATTAAGGGCAAGAAGATATAGAAGGCAGCTGATGTTTTGTTTATTGTCCATTTGGAATTTTTTGGGATGTTTCAAAATTTCTCCTAAACATATTAAAATGTTTTGTTACACATATGATCAACATAAAACTCATGGAACTGTTTCCTAAATCACCTATAATCCTGCCAACCTAGTAAGTTCTTCTGTGGCAATCTCAATAGAATAGTTACTAAGTACACCAACCTGACACCCAGAAGAGACAGATTTTTTTTAACATAGTCTGAAAGTATAGTGTCTAATTATGATGTTCTGTTTCTCCCATATAAATAGGTATTAAAATTACAGCTAGCTTTATTCCTGATTTGATGACTTGTGGCTTTGATTTGAATTACCTGTTTCACGAGCTACATTACCCCCTTGCCTTAGTCACCTCCATTGCTGTAAGCAGGCATGTAAAGAATGAGTTTAATTTTCTTGTCTGATTTATTTCATATAGGCTCCGAGTCACAAGTACAGTGCCCACAGCAGCCATGTCACCAATGTCAGTTTTACTCATAATGACAGTCACCTGATTTCAACTGGTGGAAAAGACATGAGCATTATTCAGTGGAAACTTGTGGAAAAGTTATCTTTGCCTCAAAACGAGATTGTAGCAGATACTAGTCTAACCAAAGCCCCCATCTCTTCCATTGAAAACGTCATGCAATCTAATACGCCCACACCGCCTCCTTCTCAGCCATTAAATGAGACAGCTGAAGAAGAAAGCAGAATAAGCAACTCTCCTACACTTCTGGAGAACAGCCTGGAACAGACTATGGAGCCCAGCGAAGATCACAGTGAGGAGCAGAGTGAAGGGGGCAGTGAAGACCTCGGTGAGCCTGTTTATGAAGAGCCATCCAGTGAGATGAGGGAGGAGCAGAGTGAAACCACTCTTACCGAGGACCAGCAAGACCCTTCACCCCTATCTTAACACCAGAACTTCAATGCATGTGGTCTTTTGATAGAGTTCAGATAACAGGATGGGAAGTGACAAAGAATCACTATTGATTCAAGATTTCGGTTTCCATGTGATCTGTTTTCTTCAGCCTCTCAAATGCAGTGGACCTAAAGGTTCAATTTGGTGTGTGCTGAAGATTAACCAAACTTAATGTCTCAGAAATTACTGTGTATGTAAGTGGTAGGATGTAAATACTGGAAACAAAAACAGCAGCTGTATTGATTTAAAACAAACCCCTTGTTATCTGAGTATGTTTTCTTCAGGAACAACCAGAGGCATCACACTTATTCATCTACTGGCTCAGATTATGCTACTCCTTTCCTGATGCAGAAAAAGAAATCAGAAAAAAATATATATATTCTCTTACTGAGATAGACTCTCACCCCAAACGTCTAGTGGAAATTTTTTAGTTAAGAAAAATTTCAGTATTGCCACAGGCAGTGCAGTGTTGCCTCCTTGAATAATGCCATTTTCCTACACTACCAGTAAATGTCCAAATGTGCTCGTTAGTCTACTATATAGGTGCTGCCTTTTTTAAGTCATAATGAGGAACAGTCTCTTAAATTCTTGTGTGCAAATCTATTTTATCTTAGAACTAAGAAAGCAGTGGTTTGTTAAAGAGCTTTTAATGTATATTAAACCATTGATACTCAGAAATAATAGATTCCTCCAAGGATTCCTTTTCCAGTCTGAACATTTTTAAATGTTTGGCATTCAAGTGAATGGAAAGAAAAAAACCACATGCCTATAAAACTAAACTGAAATAATTACTTGGCTAATTTTAGCTTAGCCTTCAAAATAATTTGTTCCCTCAATAGAAATATAAATACAGTAAGTTCAAACAATGGAATTGGTGCTTGAAGTTCATTGGCTTATTTGTAATTTTTATGTATTAACTATATTGAGGGATAAGATACTCATCAAATTGCAATTTCTTTTTTACAGAAGTGTGAACAGTCACTAATTTTTATCAATTGCATACTTAATAGACTTGCTATATATGGTAATTTTTCTCTGGTGGAGTTGCTATACGCCTTGCAGTTCTAATGTGGCTATCCTCTGCTAATTTGGGCAATGCATGTATTATGCATTGGATAGTTTAAGTTTTGTCAGATGACTGTTTCTTAAGTATGTGTTTCCTACTTTTAAAATGATTACTGATAAATATGCATTTCCTATATGTTTGTTTATACTTAGATTATAAAAAACTGTTTTATTTTTTAACTTGCTGCGTTGTTTTGATATCTTTTTTTTTTTTTTTTTTTGGTTAGATCATGTTTAGCAACTTTGGATGAGTTCAGAAGTCTTAAGTATGCAAGTGTTTACGTGATTGTGTCATTCCAAAGTGCATCAGAACTGTCATTCCCTTCTAGTATCTTCTCAGGAGTAATACAAATCAGGTATTTCATCATTTGGTAATATACAAACTCCAGTGACTCCCTAGGACACTCACAACATTTATATTCACATGCTGTATGTAAGGGTGTGGGTATGTGTGAAAGGGTGAGTGTAGACACTTACTCTCTATTTGTGTGTATCTATATAAGCAGATATGCGCCACATTGAATATACTCAGTGTATATCTCTAAGTGTATAAATGTCCATGTATATCTCTTTCCTTTTGTTTACAACTGTTCAAAAAAAAAACCTCAAAGTAGCGCTCTTCAAAAGAAGAGGTAGACTCCAAGCAACCCATCTTTTTCAGTATGTTCTGTACATAATTATCAGAGAGCATCAGTAAGTATCGGGCATATATATTTGCCTTTTAGCAGTGGTGACTAAATTATTAAGTCAGCATCTGCTATTTCCTTCAAGAAAAATACTATGAGATGAACAAGTAGTTCTAAGAGTAGAAAAAGCATTTCTTCAAGTACCTGGGGGACACAGCTCTCCATAAGCAGGGAGTTTATGTGGGGACATCAGTCAACTTTGGGGTTGCTGTATACGAGATTTATAATCGTGATACTCTTGGGTGGTAGTTTCAAAAGACACTACTAATACGCAGAAAGCGTTCCAGCTCTATTGCTGGCAACTACTGTTTAACAGTCGATTAAATCTGTGATAATGGTTGGAAGTAGGTGGGATTATGAAATTATAGATGTTTTTAGAAAAACTTGTGAATGAAAATGAATCCAAGTGTTTCATGTGAAGATGTTGAGCCATTTCTATCATGCATTCCTGTCTCATGGCAGAAAATTTTGAAGATTAAATAAAATAATCAAATGTTTCATGTCTCTAAATGTGCTTTATCTCCATTTATATTGCTAGTTTCCACTGACTGTCCAATCATCAGAAAACATGACAGTTATCAGTTGACCAGGGCTACTGCTATGGATACCACCATTCTGGTAGTAACAAACTCCATCTCATAATGTTAGAGGAAATTACTTCTGATTTATGCTTCCATTTAATAGAGGAATAGCTTCATTTAAATTTAGTGTCTATACTTTCTCTAATGTTTACATTGGCTAATCGTGGTGAGCTTGGTTACCTACCTGACCCGACGCCACTGCCTCCCTCGTATTAGCCTTTGTGAAATCCTTGGACTCAGTAGGACACTGTATTCCCTGCTTTCTCCACTTCTCCTATGTTGCTTAGAGACACGGATTCTGTATACACTGGAAACAAATTGGCTGCAACAAATTTTTCTTTATGAAGAATTAGAGTATTCCATACACCCCCCAGTTTTACAATCATGGAAATGATGAGGTTTTCATCACTACCTTATTCATCTTTGATGACTATGATAAGTTCACAGCCACTCACATATACAGGCATACTTTGCTTTATTGCACTTCACAGATAGTCTTTTTTTTTTTTTTTTTTTTTAAACGAACTGAGGGTTGGGGCAACCTTGCATCAAGCAGGTTCTGTCAGTGCCAACAAGTTCAATAATGGTTAGAATTTTTTTAGCAATAAGATATTTTTTAATTAAGGTAGATACACTGTTTTCTTAGACATTGCTATTATACATTTAACAGACTACAGTAGTGTAAACATTACTTTTATATACACTGTGTGACTCGCTTTATTGCAGTGGTCTAGAACCAAACTTGCAGTAGCTCCAAGATATGCTTGTTCTAACTCTTGAGAGGCTAAAAATTCCTTTCACCAGTTCTGAGACAAAATGGCTAATGGGCACCAGAGCAAACCCACTAAACAATGTGATTTTTCCTCTTAATAGAAAAGATCAACACAAATAACTTATTTATGAATTTGATTTTAAACGTATTGAGGTACTGGTATAACTTCTAGCTGAAACTGAAATGAAGAGAGTGAAGACAAGACAATATTCGTAGGACAAAGACGACAGGCTGATGAGCAGCTATGTAGGACATGGATCAAGAAAAGCACCTGTGCGGCCAGGTGTGTCCGGAACACCTTGGCTCTTGTTTAGCAATGCGGGGAGTATTACCCTGTCGGCAAGGAGACGGATGGCGGAGATTTAGTAACTATTCATTTACTTAGAAAGGGCCACGCTAGGACTTCATATTTTATAACTTCAGAGCTTGCGCTTCTTCCACTTACATCAGGAGAAAGACATTCTTTAGAAACAAAGCAAGGAAAAAAAGATGAGGGTAGAAATTAGGAGATTTTGGAAAGCAGATCAAGAAACAGATGTGACTACACATCTCAGCAAGATTACACGAAATCAGCTTCAGAGGCTAAATCCAACTCCTGACAGTTTAACCAGATCTCATTAAAGTAACTGAAAAAGGGGGTGCTAGAAGAAATGGCCTCAAGGAGGAAAAATAACAAAAAGCAAAGCCCTCATACCTGGTCATCCCGTCTCCTCCTCGTTCATATAGCCAAGCCAGAATGCATTCTGGGAAAGGTCACAGGGTACTCAAGCCTGCCTCTGCGCAGTAACATCCAGCCGACACTGGCTTGAGCTGACTTGGAAACCTAGTTGGAGGCAAGAAAACCAGAAGCTGACATTCTCTTAACCATATCTACTGTAGAACTCTATTTCGAGTAACAACTGTTAAGTCAGATGTCCAGATAAGGCAGGTCCTCTTCCTTCTGCAGACTTCAGTCTCTCCAATAAAAATCTATTATGCTGCCAACACCTTCAAAGTGGTAGCCAGTCTGAATCCTAGGGAGTTTGGGTGGGACTAGGATCCAAAAGAATACATCCATTGATCAGGTATATGTTACAAACCTGCCTCACGCAAGTTGCTGAGCTGGGCTCAGTCGGGAATCCAATGATGAGAAAGATACAGGCCCTACTTTCATGGGGCAAGTAACCTGGTAAAGACAATCTTGTATATTTTAGAATATAGCAAAGTCAAATTCCCTCAAAATTAAAAAATGCTAACTACATACTATAAATAGTGTATGATTTGAAATGTGAAAATATTCCTATTAAAGAATCTTAGATTGGTCATCTATTGAGACCACCCATCCATTGTTTAAATTCTATAACATACAAAAGGTAAAATTTTGATATTCAAAAAATAATGCAGAACCCATACAATGGAATTCTACTTAATAAAAAGGAACAAACGACTGATACATGCAAACTTGGATTGGGAGCACAAGGGCATTATACACAGTGAAAAAAAGTCAATCTTGAAAGTTTAACAATTGTATTTCCACTTACATAACATTCTTGAAAGGATAAAACTATAGAGAACAGATTAGTGGTTGCCAGGGGACACATACAGAGGGGAGGGGTTATCACTATAAAGGGGCAGCACAAAGAGGTTCCCTTATGGTATGAAACTCTTGGGGATGGTAGCTATGAATATATACATGGGATTAAATTACATAGAACTACATATGAATGTAAGCAAAATTGGTAGAAACTGAGTAAGGTCTGCAGTGTAGGTTACTGTATTGTACCAACATCAACCTCCTGGTCCTATTATATGTTATCTAAGATGTCACCACTCGGGGAAGCTGAGGGAAGGGTTCACCAGAAAATATGTATTATTTTTGAAACTTCCTGTGAGTCTGTAATTACTTCAAAATTAAAAGTTTAAAAAATAATGTAGAAACTTCACCTTCCCTTTATTCTTTTGAAGAGAATGTAGAAAAGAAAATGGGCCTCGATACAAAAAAAGTTTATACAACTTCTGTCCTTGTGTACATAAGGTACTCTACCTATAGGTTAAAAAAACAATTGTGAAACTGTATGCTCCCCACACCCCTTCCAGCCACTGCTCTGCTCCTACGGGGGAGGTCTGTCAGAGATTTCTAGCTCTCCTGTGGGCATGAAAGAGCCCCAGACAAGGGAGAGGAGCTGGTTAAAGGTGGCTGTAAAGTTCAGCATCTGGACAGCAGGGCATGAGACAACCTGAGGGACTGAGAAATCACCTGCTGGTTTGCCCTCCACTGAAACGCACCTGCTATATAACCACTGATGGCCTCTTGCTGTCCTCTCTCTTTGCTGGGGCATTCTGTCCCCTTCTCCCTCCTACATGTTTCACTTCTGTGTGTCATTGGTGCTCATTCCTTTTTTTGGAAACCTCTCCAGAAGCCACCTGCCGCTGCCTTCCCTCAGCTGCTTGGGCTGAATCACCTTCCCTTATTCAGAATTCACAAAATGACAAGGAAAAGAATTCCACTCTATAGCAGAGCCCTCGTGAAACTGCTGGAAAATTGAGGTTATATGATCAAATTCTCTCCCATGAGAGTGACAGGCCCCCAGCTTCATCAACAAAATCTATTTTTATGTGGCCTGCTGTTTGCCAGGCTTTGACATTTCCATTTAGAATATGAATTAATTCTGAGCCGAGCCAAAAGTCCCCTCTCTCTTGGAAGAATGTTAGGACTCAGGCCTTCACAGGACCCTGGAGCAGTGAGACCCAACCCCATTCCCATGTGATGATGGGTCAGCCTTCCTTAGGGGCAAGTAAGGAAACTGGTATAAAAAACAAAGGGCTGCAATGAAAAAGGCATTTTTCATTGTGGGTTTAGGTACTATCTGTGCTGTCTCAGGGCCCCATCTTCCTGGTCTCAGTCTGAAAGGAGAGAATAAGGGCCTTGCCCACCAAGAGCACCTGATACACAGGGAGACATCCTGGTGAACTCATGGGCTCTGCCTGCCCCTGCTCTGTGAAGGCCCAGCACTCAAGGAGCATAAGAGAAAGAGATTGGCTGTGCTTGCATCAGGGTGCAGGGAAGGCTGTTTTCTCCAGATGACTGGCTGGGGCCTTCAACACAATAAACAATGTTTGCACTGGAAGCAATGAGCAGTGCGACAGATTGTTAGGAAAACTAGGAAAGCCTGCAGATGGCTCCATCAATAAAGCTGCCATTCACAGCTGCCACTACTGAGTGGTTTCTATGGGGAACCCTCACATTAAAATAGAAGGAAGTTCTTTTAAATTACAGTAGTTAAGTACATTTTTTATTAAACATGATCAAATTTAAACACAGGGACTGTCTGGGAGAGAACTCAGGAAACCACAGACATGACCATTTGTACTGCTGGAGCCATGGACAAAGTGTGGGATATTTCTCAGGTATGCCCTTGACCTGAGGATCTTCGCTCCTCCCCATTCTGATTCAATGTTAGGGTCTGTTCTATGCCACTCATTCAGCAGCACTAGGTACACACACTATTGAACATTGGAGGGCTGGCAGGGCAGCCTCCAGGAACACAGCCCATTCCTATGCCACCCTATGGAGCCAGCCCAGTGGCTTGACCTCTGGGAGTGACATGAGTCATCATCTTTTTTGAAAACTCTATCCTATCCTTTCTTCCTTCGTGGCTTGACCTCTGGGAGTGACATGAGTCATCATCATCTTTTTTGAAAACCCTATCCTATCCTTTCTTCCTTTCATCCTCCCCTTGCTTTTCCTTTCCTTTCCTTCTTTCCTGTTTTCCTTACTTCTATCTTCCCTCCAAAGGGTGGCAGAACATTGCACCCCAAAATATGCCACTTTGGGTATACTGGTTATTTTCAGCTGTAGGTACCCAAGAAACAGCAGATGCAGAGAGAAGCTTTCTCTGAACTTTCCCTATCTACTTTAAAACAGATCCTCCAGAAGGAACTCAATTGTCAGAGTCCCTCCCTGGCAATTTCATCAACCAGGGAAGACTGATTCATCACAGGAGAGGAGACTAGAAATCCACACTAATTCCAAACTTCGTCACAAACTGCCATACTTCCCATCGTCGAAGGGCCCAAATGTCTCTCCCAAAAACCACTTATTCTCCCCCTAAAAGGCCTCTCCCCTTTCCCTATTAAGATGTAATCTTAAATTCTAAGCCACTTTAGGGGATTATTCACTTTCCCCTGGGTGTCTCCCACATACACACAAGGTAAACGTGTTAGTAAATATATTTTTCTATTAATCTGTCTTTTATTACAGGAGTCTCAGCCAAGAATCCAAAAGACTGAAAATTCTTTTTCCTCCCCTACACTGCCATCTTCCTTCATTAAAGACTTTTAAGTATAACTACAGCAAAGTGCACAAATCTTAGTACATGTGTGCATGTGCATACACACCCACCACCCAGATGAAGACATGGAACATCTCCAGCACTCGTGTCTGCCTCGTGAGCCCTCCTCCTGTCAGTACTCCCTCTATTCTGACCTCCATCTCTACAGATTAGTTTTGCCTGGTTTTGACTTTTATACAAATAGTTTCTTTTGCCTCTGGGTTTTTTCATGCAACATTATGTCTGTGTTCCTTCCGTTCCTATAGCCCCCATGACACTCTTTTCCTCTCCACTCACTCTGAAAATATTGGTATTTCCCCCATTCTACTTCCTCATTTTTACATACACTCCTTAACAGTGTGACAGACACCCATCATTTCTACCACTAACTCTCAAATTTGTATCTATCCAGTCCAGGTCACAAGTGCCTACTGGAACTCTGTCTGTGCCCACAGGTCTCACAGGCAATCCATTTTCCCAGCAGAACATGCCCTTCCCTGTGTTCCCCTAGGCTTGTACCTCCACTCACCCAGAAGCCAAGCTGAATCATCCCGAGCACTCCTGGAAACCTTTCGTACCTTCACCTCCAATGTCCAACTAATTGTCAAACTGTGTTCATTCTGCCTCTAAACCTCCCCGGGATTTATCCTTTCTCTCCAGGCCTACTGCCAATGCTCTCCAGGCCCTCATTACCTCTCAAGTGAACTCTAATAACTCTTAACTGTTGGAATGCCTTGAGCCTTTTCCCTCCCAGTATGTCCTCCATATTGGTAGGGGTTCAAAAAAACAAAAGAACACTGGATTCTGCCCCCATTGCCCCCCCCCCCGAGACAGACAGACAGACAGACAGACAGGCAGGCAGACAGACACACACACACACACACACACACACACACACACACCTACCTACCTACCTCCCTACCTACTAGAGTCTAAGCTCTCTTTGGCCCAGTCCCGGCCTCATGAGCTAGCCTAAGCCTCCCTCTCTAGTCGGAGTCCTGCCATTCCTCTCTTCCCCCATCCTTTCACGCACATTCAAGGTTCTCTCACACGTCAGTGCATGCTCTTCCCTCAGGCCAAGTGTCCTTCCACACCGTATTTTTCTGGAAACTACTTCCACATGTGATACGTACGCAATTTAAACAGTGCCCCCTCTGAGAAAGTCCCCTCAGTCCTCCCCTCACCTTCATGAGCCCCAGCCCTGCCTCTGGACAATTCTGCACTTTGGTTGTACTCATCACTCTGTGAGCTCTGGAAGCCAGGGACGGTGTCATCTTTCTAGGGCTCTACTGTCCAACACAGAATCTGGCACACAGGGATTACAGAATGAATGGTTTGTGCCGTTAGGGTTACTGATGGTGAATATGGGGCAAGTCCCCAGTCTGATAGGGAGACAGGGTGCCTATCCTCAGGTAACCCCAATTCTGTTCATGGAAAAGCCCTATGGGAAAGGACAACAGGGAAACTGATGGGCCAAAAGGGAAGAAAGTAAAACTTGTAGGAAGCCAGAGATGGCCCAGAGCACCAGAGAATTAAGAAAGATAAGGGCCAGTAAGACTTCAAGACCCAGTTCAGAAAGTGCCCAGGTTGGCTGACAGCACTAGGAAACCCCAGGCCCAAACCACTCTTGGGTATGAAGCCCAAGGCATGACTACCTTCACAAAGGGAGTCAGGCTGCTCTGTTTTTAATGCACCTGGCCCCGATTCCAGACCACAGTGAGGTTTTTCTAGGCCTAGAGCACGGCCTAGAACTCTGCAAAGACCAGCAAGTATCGCCACCACAAACTCACATTCCCAAGATATACAAGTAAGGGTATAACCAGCACCTCTGACCTTTGTCCAAACCTGGAGCTGAAGAAAGCAGATCTCTTTTCCCTATCTCCTGAGTTCTGGGGGCCTGGGATGGTCCACTTTGAGGAATCCTGAGTTGGCTTAAAAATTCTTTCTGGGTTTTAGTACATCATATCCACAATCACTCAGAAAAATAGAAAACATATGCTGGATGACAAGGTACTGGTAAGTGCTATAGCAGGGACACATAGCTTTACCCACCATTTTCCCCTACCTCTCCTGCTGTGGTTCTAGACAGGCCCAGGTGAGGACTCTGATCCATCATTTGGCAGGAGCAAGGCCACTCACTCTCAAGGCATAAGGCTCAATGACAGCTAGGTCACAGTATGACAAAGGGCAACACACTCCGCTCTCGACCACAAGGTCCTCCTGAGCAGACCATGACTTCCCTCAGCTCCCTAGGACCTCCCCCAAGGCGTGCCCGAGCTGGCCTGGGTTGGGTGGGCGACCTTAACTATTCCTTAATCTCCCACAGCCACAGGACACGTTTTTGCAAGTTACAGCCTCAACCCAACCACTAAGAGTGACTTACCCGAGCCCTCCTGCTGCATCTGTGGCTTACTCCCTCCGGCACAATTCTTTCTGATGCTCAATGAACAGGACCCAGCTAAAGGAGGGATGGGCAGACACATATAGTTATAAATCAATTTTCCAAATGACTGTTTCTTCCAGAGGACATAACTCCAGGAGAAAAGGGAACTGATATCAAGTATAAAAAAAGGCTCTTCTGTGTGACTCTAGTTAGACTGACAACTAACTGTTGGTTGGTTCACGAAAGGTTGGTTCATGAAAGCTTAATGTAACTCATGTTTTGGTGATGCCAAACACAATACAGACTTAGCCAGAAACTCAAATCTAACCTTCATTCTCTTTAATTATTTGGCCAGAATAATTTCCTGAGAGCGGGTTTAGTCCCTGGATGGCTTTAATTAAACGCCATTGAACTTTGAAGTTGACATCAACTCATAGCTGCAACTCAATTTTCAAATTAATCTGCTGTCTAACATGGAGGTTTTGTGGCCTAAGCAGGAGAGCTCTGGGGGAGAGGAAGATGGACTTGGAGCCTGGCGGTTTAACCAATTCTAGAACATCTTCCATCTTTCCCCACCCTCTCCAGTGGCAAGGCACTTCCATAACCTGTGCTGGGGCGTCCCCAAGGAAAGGGGCCTGGGCTGAGCTGAGCAACCAAGCTGCCTCCTTCCTTGGCTTTCCCACAGTCCTGGGCTCAGGCTCCATTCTCTCAACAACTTCAGCATAAGTCTGGCACAGCGGGACCCTGAAATTAACCCTGAGGCCAGTAGAGCCCTGCCCAAGCGCCTCTGCTTTACTCCTGCCCACTTGCCCTCTTCCCACTTCTCTCTCCCGGATGCTGAAATGTGTGAAGAGCCCTGGTGCAGCCTTTCTGCCTAGCTAGGCGCCCTCAGGAAACACCCCTATGTCTGAGCCAACTTCTGGCACTTCTCCCAGGTCCCAGGCTCGCTTCCTCTCTGCCTTTGAAAACCAAGGTCCATGACTTTGTCAGTTGTACTTTGTAGGCATACCAAGGCCTTTCTGCAATGAGTTTCTGCTTCTAAAACTTTTTCCCTGCTGACAGGGAGGCTACCCCATCATTTCTTACAGCCTGGGGCAGGTTCAGCCCACTTCCTTGGAGTGTGGTATTGGGAGTTGGCAGAGTCCCATCTAGCTAGTATATGTTGGGTAGAGTGAAAGGCCTGTATTTTGGCCCTGAGGTACAGCCATGTGACCATGACAAAGCTCCATGTCACAGACAAGGTCGGGGCAAGAACAGGCACGATGTCCCAGGGTAGCTGTGTCAGCACTCAAGGAAAAATATATTATCTAAAAAATGCTTTTCCTAGCCACTCTGCTTGCTCATGTCTTTCCATCGGTGCCATGAAGCAGCTTCCTGAGAAATCAGCTCTCACAGACCCCAGATCCTAAGCAAGCGATATCTAGTCTCAATTTACCCACCACAACACATCCTGCAGCAGCAAAGCACCCTGTGCACCCTGGAGCCACACCAAGGCCAGGATTCCTGATTCAAGCTTTATGCAAGAGACAGCTGATAATGGCAGAGGAGACTGCAATGACCCATTCACTCCAATACCACCTCAGGGGGTGGCTGAGCCACCCCAGTCTATTCATGTAATGAAACAGTCAGCTGATGCTGCTCACTGCCAAGGTGTGACATGTTTCCCAGAACGGAAGCCTCAGCCAGGCTCCTCTATCCACATCCAGCCAGGGGCAGCCTATCCTAAAGTAACCAAACCCCACCAGTCCCAAGGAGCTCCCCAATTGAGACAAGTGAGGGGTAATAGCGGAATTCCTCCATAACAAAAAAGATTCTTGGCCAAATGGTTTACCAACCCTAAGAGATGAGACACCCTGAAAAAGACCTAGAAATAATTTTTAAAGTAATTTTTAAAAATAATACCTAATTTTGAAATAATCAGAGTGCGTGCTTACAAAGGCAAAGCTATCTGATTCATCTTTGGGTCCCTGCACATTAAGTAAATATCTGGAAGAAACAGGATTAGTGGAACTCCTTGATGACGATGGGTCAGAAGAGGCCCTGGATGACCAAGGATGACAACCAAAGAACTTGATTAGAGGAGCACTAAAGACAGGACCCTACTTCTCAACCAACCCTACACTGCCAGCCTTTGGTGACAGATTAGAGTGAGCCAACCCATGATATGTGCAGTCAAATGTCAAATAAATGTATTAAATCACTGGGACCAGATAGTATCAGAATTTCTAAGCAATCAATCATAACTGCCCCTGGTGTATCCTCTAGCCTTTGAAGATCAATGGTCCAGAGAACCGGGCAGGCTGCCCAGAGCCACACTCATAAAGGAGAGAAAAAGTATATAAATCAAAGAAAGCTAGCTAGTGTTACAAAAGCCACTCCCAACTTCATCCTGCCACTGAGAGCTGCAAACCAGAGTCATACTGGATGAGGGACTAGAAAGAAGGAAACCTAGTCAAACCCTAAAAGGGAATCTGGCTGACATAGAAAAAAAAAAAAAAGGTATAAGTGGATACTTCTTTGAAATGAAAGAAGTGTAAAGTAGTTATTTTCAACCTTTCTTGTTCTTGTGCACCCTAAAATAATTTTGAAAATTTGTGTGTACCCTTCTGCAGATACAAGTTTAACATCTAAAACTTTTCACTGTTAAAATAGTAGTTTCTGGTATATTGTAAATAATGGCTTAAACTGTCAAGTCGCTCTTATAAATGTATCCAGTAGAATGCAAATGCCATCCCAACTGGACATGTAACTTCTTCAAGCTAAAACTATAAATCTCTATTTACAGTCAGAAATTTCTTCTTGAACTTGTATTTCCATTTCACTCTACAATTTTGAATTTGTATTTCCATTCCACCTAGAATTTACTCCCAAAACTTTACCCTAATGTAGCATATTGTTAGGCTCAAAAATCTCTTATTGATCAGACTTACAATTCTCTATAACATATTACAATTTAAATTTGGTTAAATTTCCTGTGACCATAAGGCTGTAAGTGTTAAAAAATATTTTATTCTAGATTGCATTATAATTAGTACATACCTGAACAAAACAAAAATATTGATAGCTATAAAATATGAACAACATTTTATTAGAGGGGTCTGGTTCATGTTTCCATGCATGATCCTCTCGACTGTTAAAGACAGTTTCAGCACTAATTCCATTCCTATTTTTTATTTTTACAGATATTAAGCACTAAGAAAACTTGTTCTCATAAACAGATGGGAATGTAAGTTTTTTAATAGCCATGTCTCTGAATTCTATGAACCCGAGTTAAACACTAAAAGTCATGTCATGTCAATTATCAGAATTATTCTTAATGACCAACTGACAACACAATTGTTTCTTCCTTCAATTTTGTTAAAAGCAAAGACTCAGAAAACTTTTAACTTGCAAAAAGATGTGTTACCTAGTCATTAGAGTCACATTCTCAACATTACCAGTATTTGGAATTATCCCCATGGCACCTCAGAGATGGTTTTTATACTCCAGGGCAACATGCCATGGTCTGACTAAAATGGGTGAGGGGAAAAAGATTATAGGGCCCTTGAGCCAGGTGTGTTCTCAGGCTGCTCAATTTTAGCAAATGTAATGGAAGCTGAGGAACTAAAAAGTGATTCCCTTAAAACTATCCTTGGCTGGGTACCCCGTGGAATCTTCCTACTCCCAGGGGCATGTGAGCCCAAATCAGTATTGTAAAGACTAACCAACTGGCCTGGAGGAGGTGAGGAGAGTGAATGTCCCTCTGTTAACAGCCTCTCATCCAAACAGCATTGACAAGGAGAATAGTCCCCCTCTGAGCAAACTCAACCAACCTGACAAGGGTGCAAAGTAACATGCCTAGGTGGAATAAACCTCTGAGAATACAGCAAAAGGCTCAGAGCCACCAGTTCAGGCCCAGGGACAGACTAGCCTGAGATCTTTCTCTGCATGCCTACACAGCCTGGCACCAAACAGCTAACTGACCCGGTGGGGGACCCCTGACCCAAAAGGCGGCCAATGATATTCTCTCTCCTGGAATTTGGGGCTGGTTTCCAGTAGCTAGACCACCATTTCCTACTGTGTGCAACAATAAACAGAGAAAGCTGGTCCACAGAAACAGAGAATTAAACAACTACACAGCCAAGAGTGATAGAAAGAACCACCGCCTTGGTCCCAGAGGCAGTCCTTGTAAGGAATGCCCAGCTGCACTTGGGTTCTGGAAAATTCCCCTTTCTGTATAGGATGGTTTTAATGAGTTTCTGGGATCTGCAATCAAAAGAGGTTTGGCTCAGACAAGAGTCAGTAGAGACTGTTCCTGAAGAAATCAACCTGATGGAACAATGACATTTATGGCATTAACAAAAAGTACCTGTACACAAGTGGGCAAAGTACATGAATAGCTGTACAAAGTACAAAAAAGAAATAGAACTTACCTATAAAATTTAAAAAATTTTGAAAATTAAAAATAAAAAGATTTTAAAAAATAAGAATAAATTTTAAATAAAAGATATTCAACATCACTAATTACAATAGAAAGGCAATTTAAACCAAAGAAATTTTATCACTTACCAGACTGGCAAAGATGAAAAAGTTTGATAATGCATTCTGATGGCAAAGGGGAGAAAGAACAGGCACCCTCATCACAGCTAGATAGGAATGTACATCAGCACCATCTTTTTCAATGAGGAATAGCTATTGAAATTGGAAACACACGTTTCCTTTGCCTTATAAATCTCACTTCTAGAAATTATTCTACAAATACATTTAATATATAAAATGACATGAAAAGATTATACATTAAATAGTGTTTGTAAAAGCAAAAAATTTAAGCCTAAATACCCATCAAAAGGAGACTAGTTAAATAAACTATGGTGGATTCATAAAATGGAATACAATGCAGAAAAATGAGGCAGAGAACAATATCCAAATTATGAGTAGTAGGAATGCACAGTAGCATTTTGGCAAAAATAAAGCAGGCAGAGAAGGAAAATACATGTACATGTATATGAATAGCACACACCTGAAAGTAAACAAGAGGAAAGTGGGTTGGAGAAAACACAAGATAAGCATGGAAAGCATCTTGTGTGTCAGAAAGCAAAGAATGCTCAAAGACTAGTAGGGGCATGTTAACAGGACACAAGACAATTTGGGCTGAATTGAGCATCAGAATAAATAACAAGAGATCGTTATTACATTGAATGAGAAAATTACACTGAAACTTTTTAAAGGGGGGGTACTCATCATCACAGAAAAATGTCAACAATATAGTAGGAATGACAGAAAAAAAAATTACTTTTTTATAACCACCTTAGTAATAAATGATTCAAAGAATCACCAATGAACATTAATACTGGGTATAAAGCTACTGAAGATAGAATATTCCCAGTCTCAACTATCACCCCACAGATTACTTATTAATTACAAGGAAGAAATCTAGCAAACAATATCTTAATTATCTAATTCAAGCTGCCAGTAATGAGGCAAACTGGTATCAAATACCACCTGATATAATAAGGATACCACACCATAATGAAGAATTCCTGACAAAAAATGTTTAACCTGAATTCAATTATAAAGAGACAATTAGACAAATCCAAGTTAAAGGATATTCTGCAAAACACTGGCCTGAACTCTTCAAATGGGTCAATGACATAAAGGACATTGGGGACTGTTCTGAATAAAAGGAGACTAAAGGGACATGACAAATAAATGCAATGTATGACCCTTGAGTGGACCCTGGAGCCAAAACAAAAACAAAAACCAACTGCTGATGAGACTATAAAATGATACAGCTGATTTAGAAACAGTCTGGTAGATTCTCAAAAAGTTAAACAGAGTTACTATATGACCCAGCAATTCCACTCCTAGATATATACCCAAGAAAAATGAAAACATATGTCCAAACAAAAACTTATAATCAATGTTCACAGAAGTGTTATTCATAATAGCCAAAAAGTAGAAATAACCCAAATATCCATCAACTGATAAATGAATAAACAAAATGTGGTATATATCCATATGACATACTATTCGGCCATAAACAGGAAATACATACATACTACGACATGGATGAACATCCTGATATGTACTACAATATGGATGAACCATTACACTGAGAGAAGCCAGTTACAAAAGATTGCATATTGTACGGTAATAATTATATGAAACGTCCAGAAAAAACAAATCCACAGAAAATAGATTAGTAGTTCTCTAGGGCTAGAAAGTGGGCTGGAGAATGGAAGTGACTGCTAACAGGGCTTAGGGTTTCCTCTTAGGGTTATGAAAATGCTTTAAAATTGATTTGTGATGGTTGCACAACCCTGAATATAAAACTCTGAAATGTATAAATGGGTGAATTGTATGGTATGTGAATCATTATCCCAATAAAGCTTTTATTTTTAAAAACACAACTACAAAGGACAAATTATCAGGATACTTGGGGAAAATTAAATAGAGACTATATATTAGATATTAGTATTGTTACCAGTTAAACTGGGTCTAACAACTGTATTATAACCTTATTCTTAGGAGATACTGGCTAAAGTATTTATGACTGAATCAATAATTTCATAGTTTAATCTTAAATTTCAGCAAAAACCAAATGTGTGTATGTACACAGTTGTGTGTCTATGTTTGTGAGAAAGCAAGAAAAAGATGGCAATATATTGACAACTGGTAATCTAAGTGAAGGATGTACAGGTGTGTATTATACTATTCTTACTATGGTATTGGGGGAAATACCTAAGAATAAAGTTTAGACTTGTTTAGACAAATAAGGGCTTCCTAGCCTGTGAAAATGCTATTGTTTTCAAACACCATATTTATCCTCAGTAAGAAGTCACTGTTCTTTGCTATGGCAAGATACAGACCTTTTATTTAAGATACTTCTTAAATAATGAAATTTCATCTTTTTAAGACAATATAGGGTACATGAAGTCTACCAACTGTGACAGCACAGGAAATTAATGTCTATATGAACTGTGTGTTATGGGCACATTTCAGTAAGGGGCAAGCAGGTTTCATATAAGGAACCATATGGTAATCATCAATATGCCATCAGCCTTCTATTACTTGACTTTGAGGAAGAGTTTTGTAAAGATTATCTGGTGTCCAAATAAAAAGAAAGAAATTACACTCAGATTTAAGATATCTCTGGTATTCTGAAATTATTTTGAAAGATCACTTAAAAAGACTTCAAACTTGAGATTTTTCATTCATGTATTTATTCCACAATCAAAATAAATCATAATTTAAAAGCCATAACATTTTTAAAAGGTAAAGGAGATTGTGCATTAATAAAACAGACATCGGTCTAAAGTACAGCACTAAACAGTTATTCTGTTCCCATGGTGGAATAAATACATAACAATTACACATAAAATTTCACTAAAAATTTGAGATGAGGCAAATAATCCTTTGAAACAAACTGCCCAATAAATAGAGGCATGCTGCAAATAATTTCTATTAACAATTTACTGCAAGATGGAAAAATTCCCAAAGTAACTACTAACTCAAACCCTTCATTTTATGCTCCTGGCCTGGGCTTTTGTCTTCCTTCCTCAGTCACATCCAAATCCAGAAAAGCTTCTGTACCCCACGCTCAAAAATACCACCGTAAGTCCCCAATGACCTCAGCACAGACTGCCATTAATGAGCCTGTATGCAACCTTCATCCAAAACCTCCAGGGAAATCAAGAGGCCTTACTGGAAGAACAGCAACATTTCCATGAATACTAGTTTTAACTGTCAAAAGAGCTCTGACAGGCCATGTGCAGTTCATAAACAAACCAAAATATTGCCTTCATATCTTTTTTTTTTTTTTTATAAAATGTTAAGTAGGCCATTCAAGTAAAAAAAAAAAATTTTTTTACAGAAACAATGAAAAGTAAAAATTCAAAGGGTTTATGCCAAAAAGTAAACCAGTCCTTTGCAGCCTAACTCATTTGTTTCTGGGCTGTGAAGCCATGTAGAGGGCGATCAGGCAGTAGATGGTCCCTCCCACCGTCAGCGCCATGGTGGTCCGGTAAAGCATTTGGTCAGGCAGGCCTCGTTTCAGGTGGATGGGCACACCATCGGATTTCTTGAAAGAATTATCAAGGACACAGTTGATGAGAAAAAGATTTACAATTTAGGCTAATAAAGAACAAATGTCTCTGTATCTAATCCATCAACACACTGCAATGGAAAAAGCCCTAATCCATTAAAATGCTAACTGAAATACTGCTATATTTTTTTCTAAATGTAATTAAAGCTTAAGTCCAAAGTCATTCTCAAAATGCAGCCTCAGGAACATGCATGCAACAAATTTCAAATTTCTAAGGAATTTATCACATTGCTTAACTAGGAAAAAAGCACTGGTGAATTTCTTCAAAACATAAAGGTAATTAGCAGCTAAACATAGAACTGTAGGCACAAGAAATGCTCTATATTTAGTTCTACAATCAGTATGACTTCCTGATCATTAGTGGATGAAGTCTGAGCACACTGGGTCAGTTAATAGGTTCAAATCCATTTTGTATTCAACTGCTTCCTGTCCATTAAACTGTTAAACACCTATTTAATAAGCCTCCGTAAAATATATAATCCATTATTTTGTAGTCTCCAAAATCCCTCCCCACTGCCAATGAAAGAACCCGGATACCCACTCAAGTCTTACATATCAGATAAAAAGGAATTAAATTGATCAAAAGTTCCCAAGCCGGTCCTGAATCTGGACTGTTTTTGAGGAAGGGAACACCGTCTTCCAGCATCAGTAGTAACAGACACAACCACTCCCATAGAACCTGAGACATAGCTGAGTCAATGACCTCTCAATTATCTGTATGTACATTAACGTTAATATTTTAAAATCCAATTCTGGCTTCTCTCTGTTGATCATCAAACCCAATAAAGTCTCCTCCACTTGTAACAACAGCTCAGTGAATTTTAATATCAAGCAAGCAAAGAACAATTAAAAGAAAACTCATTGCCAAAAGTCACTGCATTGTCACAAAGCCAAATATATATTGGATTATTCACAATATTATATATTATACATGCCATTGCTTCCTCCATCCAATGGATGATCAACAGCTTCATATGCAATTTGAAAACCTGCATACCCTCAAAAACTGATGAGGAAATTACCTACATAAATTCTACTAGTTTAGGGCTCAAACTAAAAACCAGAGAATTCAATTTAAGTAAAAAGAGAGAAGGTGAATAGTAAAACTAGATTAAGATTTGGTTTCATTAGAGTTTTTTAAAACCTATTATTTCATAGGCTTCTCTGTTCTAGAGTGTCTTCTCTCACCTGGAAAAACTTCTGCAGCTCTGGAACTTTGTTTTTCCCAGCATAATCATATGCGGTATAATCGGAAGTCAGTTTAGTTGGTGTGGCAAATATGATAGGCGGTGCTTCTTTGGAAACTACAGGCTTTAATCCCTGTAGGAAAAAAAGGAAAATATCAGGTTGAAAGAATGTCTGGACATCTGAACAAGACTTTCAAGAAGCAGGCTGTCTAGAAATAGCTGAGAAAGTCATTCAACCACATGAGAAGTCTCTCTAATTCTGCATTATAAGGCCTTTAATTTTTTTAAGTTTAAGGTTTAAAGTCCTTAAACTTCCAACAAAACAACCTAATCCACTTTCACAAGGCAAACCCTGTCAAGAACTCCTTGCCATTAAGATGGGGGAGGGAGAGAGGAGCAAACAACAACAAAGGCCCAATCTGAACTTGTAGAAATAACTATTTTGCCTATCTTGTTATCAAAACAGTAAAACATGTATGATCTGTATGAATTTTGGAGTAGATTTAAAAAGAAATCCGGTTGTCCTTTTTCTCCTCTTGGTGAGCTTATGTACTAACATGGAATCTCTAACCCCAGAGAGGACTTCAGAAACGTTTCAGACACACAGTAATGAAATATCTCAATCCGGAAGAGCCAGAAATGGTTAAGAGACTGCCTTTTAAGAATTAGAAAAGAAAAAGAAAAATAGAGTAACTGAACTTTCTATTATTAATAAACCCCTAAGTTTAAAAAAAAAATGCTTTAAGTGGATAAAAATAAAAAAGATGAGAACCTCAGTGTTCTCATCTGTGACATGAATATAATAATAGTATCTACCACTGAAAGGACTGCATATGAGATAATACATGCCTAAAGTAGCATCTGGCACACACAGGTATTCAATAAATATAAACTGAATGAGATTTAGGGGTTAAGACAGGTTTACTAATTGCAGCTCCCTTAGCCACATGGATAAAGGACAAACACAGGCTTAAAAGAAAAAACCTAAGAGGGAAGAAAAATGAAATACTGATACATGCTACAACGCAGATGAACCTTGAAAACATTACACTGAGTAAAAGAAGCCAGTCACAAAAAAAGCACATAATATATTATCTCATTCATATGATAGTCCAAAATAGGGAAATCTTCAGAGACAAAGTAAATTAGTGGTTACTTAGGGCTGGAGTAATGGGGGGTGAGCTGAAAGGTATAGGTTTCTTTCTGAAGTGATAAAAATGCTCTAAAATTAACATGGTGATGGTTGCACATCACCTGTGAATATACTAAAAACCATTTAATTGTACACTTTAAATGAGTGAACATATGGTATGTGAATTATATATCAATAAAGCTGTTATTAACAAAAAAGAACCTAACGGGAACTCTGATTTTCTCTAAGAACCTACGGTAGTAGATACATAGATGGTTCTCCAAAATAACCTGCAGATTAAAATAAGGAACTTAGAGTTCCAAATCAATAAAGTCACATCCTTTTATATTAAATTCTAACTAGGAAAAATAAAATTTTAAAGTTAGAAAGTAGCATTCAAGTCCAGCCTCTTCCATTTTACATATGAAAAAGGAAATCCTTTGTCCAAATTAATAGTTATCAGACCCCTGGGTGTCTGATCTCTTCCAAAGAAATTTAAGTTTACCTGCTGCTGACAAGAGACTCACTTCTGATCAAAAGACACACACAGACGGAAAGTAAAGAAATGGAAAAAGATATTTCATGAAAATGGAAATGAAAAAAAATCTGGGGTAGCAATACTTATATTAGACAAAACAGACTTTAAAACAAAGGCTGTAACAAGAGACAAAGCAGGACCCAGTATTCCCACTTCCAAGTATTTATCTGAAGAAACCCAAAATACTACTTTGAAAGGCTATGTGCATCCAAGTGTTCACTGCAGCATTATTTACAATAGCTAAGATATGGAGACAACCTGGGTGTCTATCAATGGGTAAATGCATAAAGAAGAGGTGATACACTTATACAATGGAATATTACACAGCCATAAATATAAACAAATAAAAGAATAAAATCTTGTCATCTGCAACAACACAGATGGACCTAGAAGGTATTATGCTGAGTGGAGAAAGTCAGATAAAGAAAAATACTGTATGATTTCACTTACATGTGAAATCTAAGGAACGAAACTAACAAAACAGAAACAAACTCATAGATACAGAGAACAAACTGATGGTTGCAAGGTGGGAGGAAGGTTGGGAGGGTGGGTAAAAAAGGGGAGGGATTAAGAAATGCAAATTGGTAGTTACAAAACAGTCATGGGGATGTAATGTAGAGCATAAGAAATATAGCCAATATTGTAATAACTAACTATGTATGGTGTGAAATGGGTACTGGATTTATTGGGGCGATCACTTTCTAAGTTATATAAATGTCTAAAAAAAGTAAAAAGACTGATCATAAAGCTACAGTATTCAAGATATGTAGTGTTGGCGTACAGAGAAAAAGTCACTGGAACAGAACAAAGGGTCCAGAAGTAGATTTATACATGTATGGTCAATTAACTTTTGAAAGTGTTTAAGGGCAATTTAGTAGGAAAAACGTAGTCTTCAATAAATGATGCTCAAACAAAAAAATGTTTAACTTTAATTCATAACACTAATCATATACAAAAATTAACTCAAAATGAATTCTATATGCAAATGTGAAGCCTAAAACTGTAAAACTTCTAGAAGAAAACAAAAGAAAATTTTTGTGTGCTTGGATTAGGCAACAACTCCTTAGTTATAATGCCAAAACCATAATCCATAAAAGAAAACATTAATAAGTTGGATTTCATTGAATTCAGAACTTCTGCACTTGAAAAACACTGTTAAGATAATGGAAAGGCAAGACAAAAACCAGGAGAAAAGATTCACGAATCACATATCTGAAAAAAAGCTTGTATCCAGAACATATGAAGAACTCTCAAAAGTCGATAATAAGACAACAACCAAATTAAAAAAATAAGCAAAAGATTTGGTCAGACAAATGAAAGTATACAAATGGCAAATATGAACATGAAAAGACACTCAACATCAATAGTCTATAAAAATGCAAATTAGAACCACAAGATACCACTACATACCTATCAGATTTGCTAAAATTTTTTTAAATGACTTCACCAAGTATTGACAAGGATATCAAGCAGTTGAAGTTTTCATACACTATGAGTAGGAATGGAAATGGTATAATCTCTTCTGAGAACTGGAGTTTCTTAGAAAAATTAAAAATGCACCCATACTATGACGCAGCTATTGTACTCCCAGATGTTTACTCAAGAGAACTGAAAGTTTAAGTCCACACAAAGACTTGTATATGAATGTCCACAGTTTTATTTGTAATAGCCAAAAACTGGAAGCAAGCCAAATGTTCATCAAGTACATGGATAAATCATAATATATCTATAGATCAAAATGCTATTCACAAACAAAAAGGAATAGTGTTGATACAAGCAACAACATAGATGTATCTCCAAATAATCTCAAAATTGAAAACTAATCTGTAGTGACAGAAAGTAGATCAGTGGAAGCCTAGAGGTAGTGGAATGTACATGAGGGGAGTGTGAAAGAGATCATCAAGGAATAGAAGAACACTTTGGAAGTAAAGGATATTTTCATTATGTGATTTTGGTGATAGTTTCACAGGTATTTACATATGGCAAGACATCAAACTGTACAATATAAATGTTGCAGTTTATTATGTCAATTGTACTTCAATAAAACTGCTAAAACACTCTTAGGGCACATTACAGAAGTGATGAAAAACCACCCAGTCCCAGGCTTAGCAGCCTGCAGATTATGTGTCAGACGCAGGATTTCAGATGTTGAGTGGCCCATCTGGACCATGGCAAAAAAAAAAAAAAAAAAAAAAATTCAAGTTTACCTATAACTGATAAAACCTATTCTAAAATATTGGAACCTCAATGTTACTCCCACCAGGAAAGCATTAGGATCAACAAAGCAACAAAAAAGTATTAAACTTGGCTTCTATTTCCTCGGACACAGTCCGATAAACGGTTCTGAATCACTGATTTCTGTACTGCATTTACACATTAACATGTTATTGAGTACTTACTCTACACTGAAAATGCACAATGATTAAGACAGATAAAATCTCTGCTAATATGGATATTAATGTTAAGAAATAACGGCAGCTAATATCTGAGCCCTTGTTATGTGCCCAGCAACATGTTAAGTATTTCATATCTTGTCATCTTATTTAATCTTGACATCAACCCTAGGAAAATACGACTAGTGTCTTCTTAGAAAGGAGTAAACTGGATGGGTCAGAAAGGGTAACTTGTCTGAGATCACACAGCAAAAAGAGCCAAGTGTCGAAACTCAAGCCTCTCTATAAGACCAGAGCCCTGGCTTTTAAGTATTCTACTACCTGTCTCAGCCACTGGTCCTCAACTACTGCTTAAAAACAACAATCCACGTAAAGAGAAAAGTTTAGTCTGTAAGCTGTTAGCCTACATTTGATATATAACACATTCAAAGACTCAGAAGGAGTCTGATATGGGAAGAGGGGGCCCTAATAAAGGACCTCTCTTTGACCTGGAGAATTTTAGACACTCACCTTATCTGCAATTTGCATTTTCTCCTAAAGAATGCAAAATTTAAAAAACGCTTCCTAGCAAGCATCTCCAAAGACAGTTTGAAATTGAATTCATGTTTTGACAGGACTAATGGGAAAGCATTTTTAGAAGGGATTATACTTAATTGCTTTGTTTGTTCACCCATTAAGTTATTCAAAACTACAGCAAAGTTTTTGATCAATAACATATGAAAATAGGAGTATCAACCACCTTAACAGTTTTAAATAATTTCATATTTCCATTTATAATATTGTAAAAGTTCAGAATATAGAATTTTAAAGTTACCTATCATCTCATTAGTTTATCTCGTAAATTATAAATTGTATATTCTCCTCCTATCTTTTTTCATAGGCACATTTAATATCTTTATAGTTATGTGAAATCCTACATTCTGCTTTTTTTCAAATATAAATTTTTTCTTTCAGATTTTTACACAATCTTAATTACTAAATTTACTCTTCAAATCAACCTTATAAATGAGGTATTATCAGCCCATGTTACACATGACTGAAACAAAGTTTTGGAGATTCCAAAAGATGGGATTCAAACCCACTTTTATACCATACTATCAACAATTCAGCTGTCTTGGCCCCACAGGTAAAAGGAATGAATGTGATCGGAAGGTACTTCACCTACCCCTCATTAAACCTCCTAACAAATTAAGAGCGGTCAATGTTTCCAATGATTCAAGGCAAGCTGGATGGGAGTAGCACTAAGGTTCTCAGGCGTCGACTTGACCAGGAAGCTGTATTTACAGGAAGGGACCTAGAGCAAATCCCTTCATCTACGCCTCTTCCAGCTTCCACTCTTGCTGTCCTGCAGTTTACTCTGAATGCAGAAATCAGCGATTATGTTAAAACAAAGAATGTCACTACTCAGCTCAAATCTGAGCAAAACATAAAGTTCCTACAATGGCTTTCAGGGCCCTATGAGATGTACCCCTCAACCCCTCTCCCACAACCACCACTACCACCTTACATCATCCCCTTTCTCTGCCCCAGGCCTCTGGACTGCCTTAAAACCTCCCAAGCACCAGGCATATTCCCCCTGCCTATAATGCTCCTCTCCAGGTATCCATATGGCTTGAACTCTCACCTCCTTCAAATCTTTACCCCTATGTCACCTTCTCAGTGAGACTGTCCCTTAGCCACCCTTTTTAAAACTGCATGTCCTCCCCGCTTAACCTGCTAACAACCTATCCCCTTTCGTGGTGCTTTTTCTCCACAGCACTTATCACCATCAATATACTATCTTCTACTTTTGTTTCCTGTGCCTCCCCCTACTGCAATGGAAGCTTCATGAGGGCAGGATTTTGGCATGCTCTGTTTACTGCTCCTCTTTCCCAAGACTCAGAAAAGCATCTGGCACAAAGAGTGCATTCAGTAAGTATTTACTGAATATATAAATAAGCTAAGGAAGTCTAGTTTCATCTGAATACTTCAGAACCAAAGTCATGTAAATCAGCACTTGATGGCTGAGCCTCCCATGCCTCCCACACCTCCCACAGCAATGAGAAAACTGAAAGTTGTTCTTAAAATAAGTGGACTGTAGGCTAAATAGAAATCACAGGTTTTGCTTATTAATATCGAATCTCTCAGCTGTTTTACACAATCACTACCTCTATAATTGACTAAGAGCCATTAAACTGTAATCACGTTTAGTAATTGAGTATTTTCTAGTCTGTTTTAGTTGCTCCAGCATTTTTTTAAAAAAAGTAAACATGATGCTTTTTCCTCATCAAAGTTGACTGGTCCAAAGTTTTCCTCTTCTCTTACCTTTTAGGTTTGGGGAGGAGGAAGGAAGGTGGAGAAATAAGTTATGTGAAAAGTTTTTAAATTTTAGATGACAGAAACCTATGAATTCTTTCACCCTGATTTAGGACTAGAAACAAGTTTCAATCCACGGTGGCTCAAGCCCTTCATTTCTAACTGACAGCTAGGTATCACCGCCTCCATCTTTCCCTGACACCTCACACTTCGTACAGCCAAAATTCACCTAGTTTCTCACAAGCCTACTCAGGAGGCTCCCAGTTTCTGTGGAAAGCACTACCGTCTTCCCATCAACTAGTGATCTTGAAGTCCCTAAATTTCCCTCATCAGTCACTTAGTCCTTACCTTGCAGACCTCTTGACTCTTTCTTCATTCCTACTCAGAAGACCCTGAACTATTTTATGTGTTACAAGAATCCCTGGCACTGGTCTCTCCCAGACAGATTATCCTTTAAAGCATAGCTCTGGTCATGATACTTGCTCCTCCATCATAAATCTTTCATGAAACTAAAAGTAACAAGCATGTCCTTGTTTCAACATCTGGACAAGACTCTATCACAACTTTCTACACTAAGTTGCTTCGAAAATTCCTACTCATTTCTCACAAAATTAAGTCCTATGATCCTAGGCCCTTCATGATCGCTCTCCATGCACCACAGCCAAACTTATTCAATGATTCCCCTGCTGGCCTCCTCCCACTCTCACAGTCCCCTTTACCTAGAATATCATTCTACTAGCTTAAGCAGGAGAGGGATTATTGAGTCATATGGTAAAACTAAGTTTCACTTTTTAACAGACTGCCAAATTGTGTTGCAAAGTGGCTGCACCATTCTACGTTTCCACCAGCAATGTAGTAGGGTTCCAGTTTCTCCACATTCTCATCAACACTGTTGTCTGTCTTCTTGATTTTAGCAAGTGTAAACTAATATCTTATTGTGGTTTTGACTTGCATTTCCCTAATGATTAATGATACTGATTATTTCTTCACATGTTTATTGGCCTCAATTTACTGGACACTGCATGTGAAAGTAAGGATAATGCTTTTCAATCAACCACTGGAAAATACCCTTCCCACAATTACTTGCCATCAAATTGATTTATAAATCTCTACCTATCCTATTGTTAAGAGAACTAGCTTTTCCACATTAGATTCTTTGATGCATGTTAGGTTATTCAGTGGACTTTATGTAACACTGAAAGTTACAAACATCCACATTTTCCAGAGTGCTAATGTTTCCAACAAAACTGAAGTACTCCTAATTACCAAGGTCAGAACACCTGAATTGGGGGATGCCTACCACAATCAATGTGAAATCTACAAATCATATAAAGCCTACATGTTATCACTTAACATAACATAACAAGAAGTCCTTAGTAACTGTCATATAAAGCCTACATGTTATCACTTAACATAACAAGAAGTCCTTAGTAACTATGAAGTTCAAATTCTCAAGAAAAACCATTCAAGAGGTGCTAGAAATCTGAAAGCCCTACCTGTTCCAAATGCAACTCAGGGTAATCTCTGCCCAGAGTGCCAATTTAATTTCAATATATGTTAGTCTTAGTCTAAAACTTCACTTTTTCCTTACTAGCTAATAGAACCTAGATTATGATAAACTCTACTAAAAGAACACCTACAACCACTAACAGAAAAGACCAATTGTTAAATATCCATACAATAAAAAGAACTACTAATATATGTAACATGCACTTTCAAAAATATCGAGAACTAAGCCTTACATAAGAGTACCGTATGGTTCCATTTATATGAAATCCAAAAATAGGCAAAACCATTTGTAGTGATAAAAGTCAAAACAGGGAGGTGGACAGGGATTGACAGGAGGAGTAAGAAGGGACCTTCCTAAGGTTGATGTAATATTCTATAATGTTAATAAGAGTATAGGTTACAAAGTGTATGCATGTCAAAATTCAACAAACTGTAACATTTAAGATCCATGCACTGAAAAATATACTTTATAGTAGATGCATATACGATAGAAATTTTCCTATAATCTGTAAAAAAAAAAAAATCACTGTTGACAATTCTTTAGACTTCCTCACCAATTTGGTTTCAGTGACACCAATCTTGGATTGTTCTTTTGATATCGATTTTCCTCCTCCACTCTCCCTCCATGTATCTGTAGCCTAATAATATTCCCATCTTTCCTCCCTATATACTTCTGGGTAATCTTATTCCCACCACAGATTCTACTACCACCTATGGGCTGAAGATACCCAGGTCTAGCATACTCCGTATTCATAAATCCGGCTGCCACCAGACATATTACAAGCTCAACATTTATAAACTAGATCCTTAATCCCCAACTCCATGCCTGCCTCAAAACTTGCCTTTCTTGCCCTCCATTATCCTAGTTAACAGCACATCTAATCTTAGATTGAAATCATTCTTAACTATCCCTCCCCTTGGGCAAGTTGCCGTGTCCCACAGAAAAAGGAGTTAACAATGGAGCATCCTTTACACATTACCTGAGCCCCTTACTATTCCAGTCTGCGTATCTTATCAACTCTTCCCACACCACTACGAGGATGAGAAGTAAATACAGTGATATCTCAGACTCAGCTTCTGAAGAATAGCTACCACTTTATCCAGTGTCCAACAACCGCCAAAGCCTACTAATCACTTGACACACACCTCATTTAATCTGTACTACCGCTGCCCTGAGCTCACAATAAAGCAACTTGATCAAGGTCATAAAATAAAGCACCAAAGCCAGATCTGAGCCCAAATTAAATGTATGGGTCTCATCTCTACGACACAAGCTGGAAATTGAAACTCCAATTGGCAAAATGAGTGATATCCGAATACTTTTCAGACAACTCAAATAATAGGCATCCGTCAACCGCTTTACAGTTAGGAAAGTGTAAGCTCGTTGCATGTAACTCTTCACACTCACCGGGGCATTTCAAGGAACCCGTTAATTCTCCCAATTCTGATCATACAGCCTCTCCTCGCCCTTTGCCTTCCTTCAGTGCCGTCATCCCAGCTCTCCAATCTCGTGCTTGAATGAGGCTGCCTTTGAGCTGCGGCAGTGGGTGACAATGGGCATTGAGGAGACCGAAAGCCAGACCTCCTTAAAATGGACAGGACCTAATTTCAGACTCGGTCGGGTCACATTCTGGGCCCCGCAAACCCCACGAGCCACCCCATGACCCACAAGCAAGGAGCTCGGGGTCACCTTGACTCCTCCTGACTTCCAGGCCCAACGTCCGCACCGAACCAGCCCCACCGGGGGAGCAACTAAAGAATTGGGAGACTCTATGGCCGCCGTAAGTGGATGAAGAAGGACGCCGGGAGGTGCGGGGCGAACTAAACCAAAACGCAGGCAGAAGCCTCGCTGGCTCCGGCGCCGCGACTGCCTGGCGCAGAGGCTTGGGCCGCCACCACTGTCCGAGCCGGCGCGGCACTACCCGTACCTGTGGCGTATAAGCGTCGGAGGCCCATGCTCCTGCCAATTTCTGCGTGAAGCCACTAAATTTGTAGTACATGATGCCCCGTGTCTGACTTTCCGCAGCCGCTACCTGCGCGACTGCCCCAGAGAAGGACCCTGCCTTCCCGGCGGTCACCCCCAGGCTCAGCCCAAGGACCCTGCGCCAAGAGACGGGCTGCCCGATGACCGCCTAATTTAAAATATGTCCTCTTAAGTCACATAAGAGAAGGAAAAGCCAGGTGCGCAGCGCCAAGAAAGGAGAAATAGTCTCTAAGAGAGAGCGAAAAGCCACTGTAGTGGGGTCTTTAGAAAATACGAGGTTACCGCTTTGCCTATATTTGGAGTAAGGCAGTGCCAAGACGCCCTAAGAAATGCGCAAGCGCCCAGCGCGCCGGGGCCTGAGGGATGTGCGGGGGTCAAGTAGGGCGGACTCTGGGAGCGTTCAAGGAGGGCGGGACCGGGGAAGTGGGAGCGGGAGGGTGGGGCCGGGAGC